AACTGATGGCTATCAGCAAGATACTTGTTCTGAATACTTCTTAAATAATGTGCATTATATTCACTAAATCCATCATATATCTAATAGTATTACTTGAATATGTTTTTGTATTATGATTGCTTCCATTTGTGCCACTCACCAACATGAGATCAGCAGGGGCTTGACTCTTTGGCCTTGTCCTCATAAGCAATATTTATTTATTACATAAAGTTACTACAAAATAACATGGGGAGAAAAATACAAAGAAAATTGGGCAACATATTTACAGAGCATTACACTAAGAAGTTGCCATGGATATCCTATAAAAAACAGTTACAAAATGTCAGAATTAGACCAAGGAGCAGTTTGTAACTATGTCAGTGAAGAGAAGGAGGATTCCTAAAAGTGAAATGTTTTCAAGGTGTGAAGGGATATGCAATGAAAAAAGAGATGATGTGGAGTCCAAGTAAAATAAAATGCAGGTAAGGTGTGGCAGCTGATAAAGTACATTAACTTGAAGCACAAAGAAACACTGAATGGTGTCGTACACTGCAGATGCAGTGGAATCAAAGCAGAAACTACAGGCACAGGTAAAGGCGTATCAGCACTGTTAGGACACAGCCAAACTTTTTTTATTTCCAGCTTTATCTCTTCTAAAATCAAAACAAAGACATGGTATATTCTCACATACTCACCCCTCTAACATGGCCAAGCTTCCGCTCAACTTCTGCTTTTTCTTTCTTAAGAAATTCACACAATTCTTTCAAATCTCTTACTTGATTCTAAAAGATTAAAGTAACAATTTAACAAAACTACAGGCATTGAAAAGGAAAGGCACACAATTCACCTCAGCTATCAGCGCCTTCAAGTGTATAGCCAAACTGAACAAGTGAGTGAATCTCTTCAGCAACAAGGAGGATTGTGAACTGACTTGTATTAACACAACTGTATTATGTATATGAATTTCAAAAAATATTTTCTACATTATTGCTTTAAGATACAATATAAATTTGAGTTCAGAACTCTTATTTAACTGTCCCATAAATTACATACATAGATCCTGGTAAAGAGAAACAGACAACTGAAAACTTTGAACACTAGTTCTAACAGGGTAAGATCAGAATAAGAAGCAGAACACAACTTAGTTGTGTTATTTCCTGTGGAATAAACAGATTACTATTATTCCCAGTTAGAAAACAGAACTGAAACAATTACCCAACCAAAGGGAATAAGATTCCCACAAACAGGGTAAGATTTGGAAAACCAAAGATAAACTTACTATGAACATTAAAAAAAAATTTCCAAAAGAAAGAGACAGCGACAGCTGTCCTAATTTTTTTTAATGTAAAGACTTTCTTGTTTTAATGTTTACAGTGTGACAATTTTTAATGGAATAAACTAACCATGCCCTTGCCTCAGGGCATTTGAATTTGCTATTTCTGTTGTCTGAAACTCTTTTCCCAGTATGTTTAATACCCACTCTACCTGTCCCCTAGCTTTCTGCTAAAATATCACTTAATTATTAAGGAAGGTTTCCCCCACACACCCCAACCCAACACAACACATACTGTCATGGCAACTATGCTTTATCTCCTTGGCACTTAACTGTAGTTGGCATACTATATATTGACTTGTTTATTATCATCCTTCTCTGCTAGAATGTAAGTTCTACATGTGCAAGGATAATTCTGTACAGCACCTAGCTGAGTACCTAACAACAAAGTAAGGTCTCAACAAATAATTTATGTTAAATGAACAGAGAAAGTATAACACTATCATGGCATTGTATGAATATGAGTTTCAACTCCTTCATAAGCTAATATGGTAAACATAACAACAAGTAGGAGAAAAAGGTTGTCAGGCATTAGATTTACTAACTAAAGAACATAAAAATTTACCTTTAATCTTGGTACATCTTTATTTGCTTGTTCAAGCTGAAATTTTAGTTCAATATTTTCAGATGACAGCTTCAGGTTTTCTTTTTGAAGGTCCTGTTCTCTTTGACCATGATCTTCTGACTCCATTTCTGAAGTCTTCAGGAAAATGAAGTTAGGAATATTTTTAAGGCTTAATAAATAAAAATGGCATAAGGCATACTGGATAAGTAAACACTATGTTAAAAAAGGGAACGTTTTTCCTTAGAAAAATATGAGAAAATTGGAGAGCTCTAGAGAAATTCAAACCAAAATAAATAAGTTAGAATATAAAACTTGCAGGGAGATATGGTAATGGAGTTTGTTTAAATTAAAAAGAAAACAATGTCAAGTAGGACTTAACAATGTCCACACAAATAATGCTTCCATATATACTCATAATGACTAAACTGATTTATAATGGCTTTTCCACTCCAAAAATAAAGTATGACTTATCTATTAGGATTTTATTATGCCTCATTCCCACATTCCACCCACAAATTCATATGTTGAAGTCCTAAATACCAGTACCTCCAATGTGACTTTACTTGGAAATAGAGCCTTTTTAAAGATAACCAAATTAAAATAAGATAATTAGGGTGGGTCCTAATCCAGTATGCCTTGTATTCTTACGCAAGAAAAAAACTTGGACAGGGAGGCAGCTTGGAGGGGAGACAATGTGAAGAGAAAGGGAGAAGATGCCCATCTACACGCCAAGGAGAAGGCTTTAGAACTGATACTTCCTTCAGAGGTTAAAGAAATAATCCTGTCCAATACCTTGATTCTGGACTTTTGGCTTTCAGAACTGTGAGAATATATTTCTGTTGTTTAAACCATTGTATCTATGGTGCTTTGTTATGATAACCTAGTAAACTAATACACAAGCCTACAACAATCACTGCTTCAATCCCTTCCTCCAGAAAGCTTTTCCTCCTTCCTTGAATGAAAATAATCACTCCCTCTTCTGAAATCCAGTAACACTCAGATTATTATTTATGTTCAATTTTATTTCTCATTTTAAACTATAGGTTATTTGAAAGGGAAATCTGTGCTTGATTACTTTTTCTGTAAAGTGGGTAGAAGACACCTACCTCATAAGATTGTTGTGAACAACAGATGAAGTAATTTTGTGAAAGCACACAGCACAGATTAAGTTTTTTCTCCCCCGTCCCTTTCTCTCTCTACTGGCCTGACAGACTATCAAGTTAGTAACTCCACAGACATTATAGTTTTAAAAATATAAAATCAAACACATAGATCTTTTTATACATGTTCTACAACATCTTTTTAATTAGCAGTAGGTTAAATATTGTACATTCTGATATATTCAGCTTTAGGTAAAAAAGAAGTAAAAAAATTAAATAAATTAGAAAATAGGACATTAAGAAATAAAGATATTCTGGGCTATTTGATTCTGACTCAAGCGTATATAACAGAACACTGTTAGAAACACTGTATGCATCCACACAATTTCTATTTGTTTGAGGGAATGTGTGTGCATATGCACATACACAGTAGCAAGAAAAGGATGTACTGGTATCTGTAAACTGCAGGAATACGTCCCTACTTATTCTGTCAAATAACCTCAAAATACATTCCAATTCTTCTACAGTTAGATTAACGCTAAGCAAACTATGCCACCTGCAAGGTCCTCAGTTTTTGCATCTTATAAATGAAGCCACAAGAAGGAATAGTTTTTAAGATCTCTTCAGACATGGAAATCTGTAATTTCCTGTCTCTGAGCTCTTCTGTCTTTCTCACATCTCTTCTGTCCATGGTAGCTATCTGATTTAACAAAAAAATGGTAAATACCTGAGTACTACTGATTGATCGACATAAATTATATTAAATATCACTCACAGAAGAGTGTAATTGTGATCAGCTCACATAAGGGTATTTTTTTTAATACAGTTCTCCTCCCACAAATATGGGTGCCATTATGTAAGTAAATATGGATCATACCCCCCCTTAGTCTCATCAAACAAAACTAGAAGTATTAGTTGAGATTGTCCAAATTTCTGGAAAATGAATTCTAATGAAACTACCTATGAAAGTAATATGAATAAAATTCTTAAATAGTGAATTTTATGAGACTTTTATATAAGTGGAATCCTGTTAAGAGGTAGAAATTAAATTCTTAGTGGATGGGTGTTAAGAATAACACATGGTGAAAGTCTCAAATTTTCAATTACTGATTATCAAGTGAAAAACACTATGAACCGGGATAAACAAGTGAATTAAAAATTAAGTCACTTTCATCCATCTTCTCTTAACTTTTAAATGTTTGATTTTAGTTGATGTTTTTAGGACTTAGGTGACTGGAATGTGTAAGTAGAAAGGATAAATAAAAAAGAAGATAACTACTATTTTATTTGAATTGGGGAAAACTTGTCTTATTCTGTCCTGCAAGGTAAACTGACCAAAAATAGTGTATTGACGGAATGTCCATGAAGAACTCTTAAGTCAGACCTGTAGTTAAATTCTGGCTATGCGTCTTCTTGATCACTAGAGATTTTACTTACTCTCCAAGCTTCCCACGTAAATCAGGGTACTGTGAAAATTAGACTTAGGTACATATTCTAACACAGCATAGATAGCAACCCATGCAAGCTCCTTTTTCTCAATATAAATAAAATATCCATTACAAGGCAAAAAGATGAACAGTTTATTTTAGAATGCCCCACAGTATCACAACACATTTTCACTGAAATTTTATCTGTAGTGAGATTTTATAGATGAGGTAGGAATTTCTCTAGCAAAACCAAAACCTCTAATGTGCCTTATTTTTGTTATTGTTATCTAATCTAGTACTTTTTAGGTGAGTACCAAGGGTAAAACACTACTAAAATGAATAAGGAAATGTATAAGCATAAATTTTGTAGGAACTAGTCAAATATGAGGGCTTAATAAAAGATGAAGTTTTAATAGTTCATACTTTTTACAAATTCTGCAGTTTATCTCCATTTGCACCATGCATATATACTCTGGCTGTAAGAAGACTCTGCTAACAAAGAAACAAAGGACTGCCGTGTACTCATACTGCTTCGCTGGACTGGCGTGTGAGCTTCAGAATCTGCCTGTGCCTCCCGCTCAGCCCACTAGTCACCGCAGCAGCAAGTGTGACTTGTAGAATCACGGTGATCCTGCCCAGGAGATCATTCTCGATCCACGTGGCAGTTGTGACTCACACCTTCAGCTGTGTCCCCCTTCCCCTTCTCTTTCTCGCCTAGCTCTTTCTCCTCCTTGTCTTTATGTTCCTGTTATTTTTACAAGTCTTGATTATTTTCTCAATTTCAGGATTTGGTTCATTTTCAAATTTGGAGTTAAAATCTGCCCCAGTACCATTTGTTGACCTAAATGGACTTGATTTTTTGTTTGGTCTTGCCTCAGATTTATCTAACTCAGTGGGACCTACACTATCTTCCGCTTTGTGTTTTTCCTCATTACTGTGACAAGGGAGACTATTTCTAGGTGTCTGATGATATAAGTTGTCATTGGCATCTATTCCCTTCCCATTTTTAAATTCTGAACACACTTCTGAGTTTTGTTTGTTTCCATGTAAAGTGTTCTTTTTGTGAAAAACATTATGCCTGTATTTATAATACTGGTAGCAAGGGTACAAAGAGTAGTTGTGTTACATAACAGATTCTGCTTGAAGCAGAGAAAAGAAATATGAAAAGATAACAGGAAAAAGACAAAAATATACACGCTCAATGTTTTAAAGTAAGACATACCAAACAATTCTACATGATTCTTTATAAAGAAAACTAGAAACATGTCACCTTTGAATGGAAACAATGCTCTGTTTTCTTTTTTTTATCTAATTTTATGTTCTTACCACAGCAAAACTTATGATAATTATACTTAAAATCTTCAGAAATCATTTGTAATGAAGTTTTATGTAAAAGAAAAACAATCAAGTTTACTATTTACTGTTTTATGTAAGAAGAATTAAAGAAGTCAACATATATTACTACCTGATAAAAATAAAAGTTGAGTTTACTGCATAAACATTAATGAAAGGGATCAAATGTTTCTCACCAGATAAAGGCAGAAGTTGATTTTAATTCTGAGCTTAAAAATGAAAAAAAAAAAGATGTACACTTACTGAAGGCCTAGAATATGCATCCTTTGAAAACTGTTTTTCTAAAGCATGGAGTTTTTCTTGGAGGTATTTATTTTGTAAATGTAAATCTTCTATGACAGAATCTCGAGGAAGAGCTTGGTGAGTCCTAGAAATTAAACAACCACAGACTCTTTACTAGTCAAACTTCAAATTTCACTGTTTTTACTATATTAAAATATAGGAAAGAAAGAAAACACAATGTCTTTATTAACACTATTTATTTTAAATTTTCTAAAACTTACAAACTTTATAAAAATAGGACATGACTATTTATATTATAAAATGACCCTCTACAGAGGAGTCACTGCAGGACTCTCTTGAATTAGGAGTAAACAAGTAAATTTTGAAAGAACATGCATCTAACTATTTGTATGGAATTGTGTAAGATATCTGAATTAAACACCAGTGTTTTTAAACATGTAATAATTCCATATAATCCATGTGCTTCTCAAGCTTCTCAGGAAGTTCAAGCTCTTAGTGGTGCCAGATAACCTGTCACTTCAAGTCTATGGTCATCTGTGTAACCTACAAGGCCCTGCACATCTGTCACAACCACACCTATTCAACCTAATTATGCTAGAGTCTACCTTTATTTAGGCAATTAAATTCACTCTTACCCACACATGAAAGATTCACCCTTGCCTCTACGTCTCTGCTAGGGGTTCTCTTTCTGGAAGTGTCCTTATTCCCTTTAACATCTAGATCTGATTCTTAAAGTTTAAAAATTTACACTTGAACTGAGAGAGAAGATAAGTTCAATCTCTTCTATTAAGTCTCCTCCAAATACTTCAACCCATAAAGACTCACATTATTAGAAAAAAAGAACAAGTAAACCTCTAAAATCATTAGGACTGCAAACTAAAGAATTTTGATCCTTGTGAAAATTGCAAAGCATTTAGTTTTGTTTTCAACATGTTTAGATCAAGAAAAATCAGGAAGGGAAGGAGCCACTACTGGGATCAGATAGTAACTATAAATAGATATCAAAAGAAAGACAAATTCTTCAATCACTTCTTCATCAAGGAAAATTCTGAAGGATTTAAGAAACAAGGACTTAGAAGGAAAAGAGGCAGAATGTAGTTTAGAAGCTCATGAGTGTTCCTTTAAAGGAATTCAACTACATATTCTCACATTACATTAACACTGACACAAATATAGACTTTAATTGAGAAGCACTAATGGTAATTTTTGAAGATTAATATAAAGGAAAAAAGTGTGATAAATTTCAAACAGTAAATATCTTCATATCCACCATTATAGGTAGGTACCAGACTTTGACAGTAATCTTTAACATGATCCCAAACTTCATAAGCACACAGAAGAGGAAGTAACAGATTATAAAAAAGTAATGTAAATTCATCTTGGAAGAAATGAGTGAAACAAAATTATAAATAGTTTTAATTGTTACTAGTTCTGATTTTATTTTGCATTGATTGCATGATAGTGAGTATAAGAAAAGACATAGCTTGTAAAGACAGAAAAACAACACAAAATCTCAGAGGTTCTGCTAAAGTAACATGGTCGGGAGGAGAGGTGGTTCTGGTTCTAGGTACAATGGAGAGAACACTTCCAATCCTGTATCTCACAAATGCATGGAGCAGCTATTTGAGGACTGTGAAGAGTAAATATTTTAGACTAGGAAAGGATACCAGAATGTGAAGTATCAGCAAACAGGTGGCGAATGTCCTCTGGTATTTTTTGGCCTGAACACAGCACTGCTGGAAATCTGAAAGTGAGTGTTAGCACCAAGGAAGAGAGCTCCAAGGAATCTATAAAGTTGAGTAAGGAAAAATGGCACTTACAATACAAAGTGCAAAAATCCCTTATTTTTTCTTCTCTGATTGGTAGAGCTGTGATAGTTAGGAGGCAGAGCAAAAGTAGCCGCCGCTCCCCCGACTGCCCACACATCCGCTTTCTGCCCTCTGCTGCTTGCTTGGCTGCAGGGGTGTGTGCGATTGCTGAAGTGCACAGAATAGGGTAACTAAAGTTCCAATTTGATTCAAAGTACCAAGAGGTGAAGCCCTAGGGAAACGAAGCATCAGGGAGATGGCAAAAAGGGAGAAACTCAAGAAAGGAACCTTACTGAGTTGTTTACAAACCTCTGGACTCACCCTTGGGCTGAGCATGTATGGATCTGATCCTAATCAGAGTACCAAAGACTCTTGAGAACTGAGCCAACACACAGAGGGTGGCTCTCATGCCACCAAGTGTCACCGGGAAGGAGCACAGCCAGATCCAAAGAGCGCCGTCAAGGTTTTGAAAACGGAACTGATGTTGGAACCACAGATCTCAGAGAGCAAGTTAGAACTTGAGACCTGAACCTATCCGGACCACCCGTCTGCTAAAACAAAGATATCTACATTTCCCACAGCATTTAACCAAGATCCCTCTCATGACATAATATTCAAAAGTTCAAGAATACAATCCAAAATTGTATACAAAAACCCAGGAACATCTCAACTCCCATGGCAAAAGACAAGCAACAGACCACAAACTTAAAATAACATGATTATGTCAGTTTCTATGGGTCAACCAGTTCCTTCATTATAATGGATAGCATATTTCCATGTAATAGCTTACCTCATATATGATATGTCATTTTCTAAGTCAAAATTTCTCTTTTTTAATTCTTCCAACTCTTTTTCTGATTCCAAAGCTCGCACTCCCATTACTTGGTCAACAGTAATACCAGTTGTTTTTAGTTTCTTCTGTAAAGTAAGTTTCTCTTTATCAGCTCTGTGAGACAGAATCATGAAAATACAACATTCATTGTTTGGCATATTCAATGTATTAAACTGCTGCTTACAACAAGACCAATATGCAAAAAATTGGATCCTTCTGTATTTGCTATGAGCTAACATATTTCAAAATTATACAAAACTCCATTTATAAATTGTTAAGATATATTTAAAACACATTTTAAAGAAAAAATGAATCATAGATAATATATAATTAAAACTAAGAAATTTTTTCTCATACTATCAAGCATGATAAAACAATTTAACTTCCAAGTCAATTAAAGACTTTATACATAGGCTTACATTAAATAAACTCACTTGGCAAAAAGATCCTTCAAAGTATTCAACTGCTTTGTTAGAGTACAGACTTCCCCCTCTTTCTCTTTTAACTTGTTTCGAATTCCTTCTATTTTGGCTTGCCATTTTTTACCTTCTTCCCACCTAATTAATTCTTCTCTAGCACTCTGTAAACAATAACAAAGGAGGGAGAAAATTACCAATATTATTTTCATTTTAAATCTATCAACTATAATTTACTAGACAATGGTAAACCAATACTTCCAAGAGAATATGTAAATATATTCATTTTGCTATATAACTTAGCTTAAGGATTCTGTATTTTATAACTTGATAGAAGAAATTCTGGGGAACAGATCACACTAACATTAATGCCCTTAGGAATCTCTAAATAAAGGTTCTAATACAGATGATCGTGACTAAAGTAAGCTTCAAACAAAGAATATGTACGTATAAATAACCCAATTTTGTCACCATATAGCATCACAGCCCCTTCAAATCCTCAATGAGCATTACTTCTTTTATTCAACAGATATTTGTTTAGTACTAACCATATGTCAGGTACTACTCTAGGCACCAGGAACAGAAGCAATGAATAAACCAGACAGAAACCCCTATCTACATGGATATTACAGTCTAGTTTTTGTTGGCTGGATGAGCAGAAGGAAGTAAAATGTAGACAAAAAACAAGAATATAAATTTTGGTATGTTCGCTGGTGGTAAGTGCTAAACAAACAAACAAAGCAGAGAAGGGAATTAGTAGGTGTAGTGGTTCCAGTTCATTATAATTGAGATGAAGTCACCAAGAAAAATCCATATAATGCAGAACAGTCCAATGTGCTGAACCTTCAAATGTTCTCCTGGACATTCATGTAACTAAAAAGTCTGTTCAGTTATCTGAGCCAATAACTTATCTTCATTCCACAAACCAATTTTTTTAATGGCTTAGTATATGCTGCATTTTCAAGGAATGAAACAACCTTATAGAAGGAAAGACTGTTGAGATCATTTTGCTGAAAACCATACCAACCACTGTGTACGATTTTGGAGATTAAATTACAACTGGCAATGGTATTGTGACATACTAGCTGCCAGCAGCATGCATTCGTGTCAGTCTGCATTACAGCTCTGAATTCACATGATCATGCATAAAGGTGCATGCACATGCCTACTTCATTGTGTTTTCTAGTGTAGTATGCCACAGCATTTTCATGCAGAAATACGAAAAAAACATATGAGTATATTTATTATTTTTACAAGTGATTTTCCTTTTATTTTTCTCTTATTTCATTAAGGTTATTTCAAACAATATTTTTGAAATTATGAATGAAATAGTTTATATTAACCATGACTTTCATGGGGAATAGGAAAGAGGATATTATGAAACACTGTATTTACTATAAATAAGGCAATGTTGGGGCTGAAAGGGTTAAAAGCCATAGCTTAAAGTCATTTGCCCAACTAAAATAACTTGCCCTATCAAAACTATCTTCTCCAATTCTGGCCAACTTTTTGACCTTATTTATTTAGTTCAGCTAACAAGTAGCCTTTAAAAATATATAAAAACTTAAGTGTTTGATAGTTATTAACTTTTTTTTCCTGAAATATACAAAAAGAATTTTATGTACTTCCAGAAATGTAACTATTAATTGGGGTCATAAGGTATGAAAGTAAATATTCTGTGGCATGGAATGCTTTGCAGGGGATGGGCAATTCTCTCTCATCTGACATTGCCATCTACAGTAAGACTGATGGAAGCAAGGCTGAAATAATTTAAAAATGAACAATAAGAAATAACAAGCAAATGTCAAAGATCTGTTATAGACTGGGGAAGAGAAAGGGAGAAAGGGGGATGGAGAGAAGTTCTCTTCTCATATTTTCTGTACCAACAGCCTCCTCCATAGAGATACTAAAATGTTATTGTATTTAAAATTTTTCATTCATTCAAAAAATACTGAACATCTACTACATGCCAGGCACTAAGGATACAAAAATAAACAAAACAGGTAAGTTTCCTGCCATGAAAGATTTTGTCCAAAAGATGAATATGTAAATAAGTAAATGTTAGTATGTGAGACAGTAATCAACACTATGGAAAAAGTATAGAAGCATAAGAAAAAGGAATGCAGGGCCTGGGGGTGGGTTTTTTTTTAATCTCATGTAGACAGGCTACAAATATTGTTTACAGAGAAAAAAGGTGGTGAAATTTCAATATAAAAGCATCTTTGAGTATAGAAACATTCATAAATTAGAAATGCCCAGCACCTTAAAAACTGAATATTCTTACTAGAGTCCTATATATAGAATTTAATTTTAGTATTGTTCTTTGTGTTCTTTTTTCCTAATTAGTAATAATACTGTACAGTGATATGGATTTGATGGCCTACAAAATACTTTCACATTATTTCATTTGACTGTCAAAATTATTTTGAGAAGTTGGCAATGCAAATGGTATTATTTTTATTGTAAGGAGAAATACACTGAAGTACAGAAGTCAGGAGTCCAGGCAAGGCCACAACGCTATTGAGGTATTCTGATAGCCATCGGGTTAGGAATTGCTGTCCGACAATTAGGCCTATGCCCAACTAGGGAGGCAGTGAAGAAAGCAATCTGAAAGAGTAAGGACACCTCAGCTCGAAATGGACCCCAACTACTCCCACTCCACTGGTGGTTCCTGCACCTGCGCTGGCTCCTGCAAATGCAAAGAGTGCAAATGCACCTCCTGCAAGAAGAGCTGCTGTTGCTGCTGTCCTGCGGGTTGTGCCAAGTGTGCCCAGGGCAGCATCTGCAACGGGGTGTCAGACAAGTGCAGTTGCTGTGCCTGATGCGGGGGAGAGCCTGCCTCCCAAGAGAACAGAGCAGCATGTATCAGCCTGTATTGTAATAATATTTTAGTACACCACCAACCTATTTTCTACATTACAGTTTGTACAAAATAGTGAATCATAATAAATGTTGTTGACTATAAAAAAAAAAAAGAGTAAGGACATTGTGATCTTGCAATTTTCACCAGCAAAGTCTGTGACAGCAATGTGTTGGGGTTCTACTTAAATAAATGTGAGCATTTTAATCAAAATTATACTGACCTTGATCAATTTTCATAGGGAAAGGATATTTTGAATATAGTCTGTTATGACATTTTAATCCCATTATCTGTTTATTCTTCATTGCCATTAAAGATAGTTAATTTTCTTTTCTATTTTCATGTTTATTTTAGATATCGAATATTTTATGGGTAAATTTTAGGATAAATTCTTCTCTTAACCATAGATCCTCCACTGTAATTTTCTTCAGGGGAAAACCTTACTATTAACAAAAATATTTTCCAGGTCACTTTTGGTATTAACAAGATAAATATTTCGTTTATTATTTACAACAAATTTAACTGTATGAAGTTTAGCTAATTTTAGGGTTTTGGGGAGTTGATTATTTCTATCAGCAATATCTTTTAGAAACAGTGTTAATCTATGTGAAAATTTTTTTCTCACATTATAGAATCAATCAATGAGTGGGTTGATTATTATTATTGCAAAATCTGAATATATTCCAAGTCATTTTGTTTACCCTGAAATAACAGACCAGTAGAAAAAAAAAAAAAAGACACATTTGGGTCAAGGTAGAAGACTAAAAATGCCCAGCTTTCTTTCTCAAAGATTGAAAGCACCAATCTATGTGAACAATTACGTTGGGGAGAAGTTAGATATGTAAGGTATGAAGATTTGGAGGTACTGTGATGTCAGGGAGAGGACACGGACATATCGTAGTATCTCTGAATGACAGTTATCTTACAGGTACCTCCTCAAGTAGACTGTGAATTCCTAAAGGACAGAAATTTATCTTAGACTTCTCTACATTATCCAGTACCAGGTATAGTATATAGTAGGTCCTCAAAAATTATCTGTTTATCAATTACACATTTAACAGTCTTTCACTACCTTAAATATATTAATCAATATGTTTCCTCACGTACCTTTTCTTTTATAGGTTTTAGTTCTACTTCATCCACCTTTCTTTCCAGTTGACTTTCTAGTTTTTTAATTTTCTTTTGCAGTTCTTCAATTAGACTTAGTTTATTATCTATCACAGGTTTGCCCTGAAATATAATATGTATTTTTATATCTTAAATAAAAAAAATTAAACAAAATACACAATATGCCAGTTATAGAAACTTTCTGAGGCTACAGCTGAACCATACTTCCTAAATGACACTATTGATACATAAATATAGCATGGTAGCTGCTTCTGCTTCTGAATTTTAAAGATGCTACTCTGAAGCTACAAATAGAATAGAGGTCAAAAAAGAATGAGCTACCTTAATAAAAGTGACTTAAAAGCTAATTCCAGCAAATATTATAAATAAAATTAAGAAATGGAATAAACTACTTCTTATGTATTTTCAATCAGACATGATCACAATTAAATACAAAAGTACCTGTAATCCACTGGTTAGTCTCTTAATTTGCCTTTTCAGTTCATCATTCTCTTGATCAATTCCATCTTTCTCTCTAAGCATTTTATTATAGGCTTTTTGTTTTTTTGTCAGTTCATTGGTTAAGTCATTCAAATTATCAGTTAGTGAATTTTCTCTGTTTTTACTTGCTTTAAGAGCTTCTTTCAATTTTAAAAGATTTTCACTTAAGTCTTCAATTTGTGACTAATGAAAGATAAATATTTAATTTATGAATCTTCAAATATCAAGGATAAAAGCAATATAATACAGAACGTATCCCATTAATACTTTCAATCCAAGAATGTTTCAATCTAATTTTTTTAAGTACACAAGGAAAAAAACCACACATTATATTTATTTTTCCATCTTCATTTCAAATGAACAAAGTCTATTTGAAGTAAACAAAACAAGAAACAGGCTAAAGCAATTCATCTTCAACAAATACTCAGAAACAAAATTTTACCAAATTAGCAAATGTTTCATTATGGCTGATTTAATTTTTAGTAAAGAGACAAGTACATATCAGTGTGTAAGGCAATGTTTTACACACTACAAAGCATAAGAGTGGTATTAAACAAAATCTCTGACTTGAAGTAGTTTCTAACCTACTTTGCAAAGACAAGAACTTGCAATACTGGACAGTATACATAAGCCACTAGAAGGGAGTTGCTAGTTGTCCTATATAGTAAAGTGAAGGGAATGGTAGCACTTAAATTATATTCTGTTGCATAAATTATTACTGGCCTAAAGCATTACTAATAACACTCAAGGGAAATGAGTAGTATTATAATGCAGTTAGAAGAAAAACAAAAATTGTCCTGGAGAAGTCAGAAAAAAACTTCAAGAAAAAAGACCTGAGAAATATGAAGAATTCAACAGAAGACATTTCAGGCAAAGAGAAAGGTGCTAGAGACATCAACAAAGGGCTATTTGTGTTAATATATTATTAAGTAAATAGAGTTTTACTGTCAACTATGCTCATAATCTTGATGGGTACAATGCAAGACTTAAAAAATCTGAGTAAAACCCAATCCCTAGACAGTTTAATGGTGTTGAAAGGCATGTACAAAGAAAATAAGAGCAAATCAAAATTATAGATAAAATAAAACATATAGAAAGCAAATTTTTTATTTTCTGCATAATATATGAAACTTTGTGTAAATAAATTTGAAAATCATTATGAAATACATGTGTTTTATAAAAAAACACTTAATCGCCAAATCTAATGATCAGGTTAGAAAATAATAAAATACATTGCCAAAAAGCAAATAACTTACAAAAAAAAAAAGGCTTTAGAGTCACCAATATGTCAAGAGCTACATGATTTCCATAAACTATTTTGGGGGTGGAAAAAGGAAAGCTAATTAACATATTATGGGCAAACAAAAATTAGAAAATTCTGATAAGACAAAAGAAATAAAACAAAACAAAAACTACACATCTATCTCACTTTTTAACATATAAGTAAAAATCCTATGTATGTTTCTTAAATTTAATTCTATTAGGAAGAGTAGCTTACCATGGCCTATCCTTTGCTAATCTCCAAGATGATAATCAGTGCCTAAATTCAATAAAGATAGCTATTGTTCAAAAGTGTGTGAATATGTGTGTATCTATCTACCAATAATTCATTAGAATACTCTATTCATTATCAGAATTATTACATATCTGCATGGTAATTGTCAGAAATTTTGTTATATTAATGCCTGTGTTCACCTTTAGCTCTTTAGTATGTCGATCAATAATTTGTTGAACATTAAGATTTGCCTCTTTCTGAGAAGTTGCAAAAATAATACGTTCCTCAGCTGCCGCTGTCATTTCTGCCCGGAGTTCCAAAAGTGCTCGACTAAGTGCCTAAAAATTACAACATATATACATTAAAAAAAAAAATTGTTATTTTATATGAGCAATATGTAATACAACAAAATAACTCATCCTTTATTACTTTTAACTATTTTCCTAAAATACCATGTGCTTAATCAGGTGTAACTTACAAACCACCCAACTCTTTCAAATGAATCTCCTTTAGTAATCGCACTCAATTCTTTCCAAATTGAATGTGACAGTTCAAGATCTAGATAATAAGAACTCAGCATTAAATCAAACAATTTGCAATTCAGAAAACAGGCATGTTTTATTTACAAATATCCAAGTTTAACTATTTCTCTGAATTTCTCAGTATAATTGAATTTAAGTAGACAATGAAAGTTATAGGATTGGAAAAGGCTTAAAATTTGCCAATAAACATGAGCCAGCACAGAGAAAACAGAAGTACTTCTTAAAACAATTGTGTATATTAAAACTGAGAGAAATTTAAAAAAACTAATAAAACAGAAATGCCACCGACAAACTCCTTCTCATAAAACTATCTCTGTGACTTGCTTTTTAAATCTTTCCTTTCCACTGTCCTATCTCCCTCTTAATATCCCAAATCGCTCAGAATTGTTCAATTATTCAGATTGTTCAAAATAGCCTCAGTATCATAAGATCTCAGTATAAAAAAGGGGAAAGATGGAGTTAAGATTTTCCCTTATTTCCTACAGACAACCCACAAATCAGACTGATGACAACATACAAAGATAAATTGGACTACACATTTAAAATCACCACTAATAGGGCTATTTAAACTAATTATCTTGAGACCTCGCTTGACAGCATGAAGTAAGACTCGTACTTTTCATTAAAGCAGACAGATGTGCTATCATCTGTTTCCTGTCTTCTCTTAAGAGCGATCTCCCACGCGTTATTTCCAAAATGTTGTTAGTTTTCTAATGTTACTTACTTTTTGCTGTTTCTCTTTCAAGGCTAACTGACTCTTTAGTCGATCTACCAGATTTCTCATTGTGGTTGTTGGAGCTCTGGAATTTGCTTCTTTTTGAGCCTGAAGTTCAGATTTTAAACTCTGTGACTCCTTTTGTGACTGGGCCAGAAGACACCTTAAGTCCTCCACTTCTCCTTTCACTTTTTTCACTTCCTCTGCATGGTTTTCTTGGAGTCTAATAGACGAAAACATTTGGATCTGATAGACTGGTTCCTCCAATTAACACTTTGATTGATACAAATTTTATGAAGAGCAAATGCTGGTCCTAAATATTCTTCCAAACTAAGTCTTGATCCAAATCGAAAAGAACAATTCATTATTCACTTAGCTTTCTTAAACTTACATAAAATAACTTTTTTTCCCCTCTAGTTTCTGTTTCCTATTTTTGGCAATAATTGCATCAAGTAATTTTGTGGCTCTAGATAAACAACACAGAGAATGAACAAAACATAAAGCACTTTAAATACTGCCTCCAGCAAGACGTGACTTCCTCTACATCATGGTTTCTCAACCCCAAAACTATTGTCATTTTTGACTGGATAATTCTTTGTGGGGAGGGCTGTCCTGCGCACTGACAGGTTTAGCAGCCACCCTTGCTTCTACCCACTATGTGCCAGCAGCACCCCCTAGTGGTGATAATCAAAAATGTTTCCAGACATTGCCAGAGGAGTGCAAAATTCCCTCTGTTGAGAACTACCACCCCATAGGGTCCTGAGGAAAAGACAAAATGTAAACTCCCGCAGAAGTCACATGAATTACTAGTTTGCTTATAGTCCTAAAGTCACTAGAATTTTATCTATAAGTAATAGCTGACTCTATACATATGGAACTGGATATATTATCAGTAGACTTAGTTAATTCAATTAATCCTCCTGCTCATTCAGCATTAGTAAATCTGATATATTGAATTATATCCAGTTCACTGTGTATATAGACACTACATTAATAAGGTTATCAATATGGAGATTCTGAGACTTGTTGCTTACAGTGAAAACGTGTCACTTTAATCATCAAATTGGAAAATATAAGGTTTTACTAAATAAAACACAGATCTATAATTTCCTAAGACACATTAAAATATGCATACCACTGTGGACACAGAGAATAAAAGTATGATATTAGGCTAAAAGGATCTGATGAAGTATAAAACAACTACTCAAGTATTTCATGTGGCAAAAATTATACATAGCAGGCAATTTCAAAACATGATTTTTTTTTACATCCAGGAATTAAATTCAAAAGCACAAGCAACTTCTGTACTCCAAAGCATGACAGAAACTTACTGTACCAAAAGTAACATCTCAGGTATACAGTTAAACAGAATGGGGAAAATTAGATTACAAAGGTAGTATGTTACTGCTAATCCCCTTTTCTTTTAGAAAGTAATTTCTTAGAAGGGGCAGCTTCTTAATAAAGCAAAAATAGTGTTAATTTTGTCTGAGGCATATTGGATAAATAATCAAAGGTTCTAATAAGAGCTTCAGAGCTGGAATGGAATTATACAGTCAAGTAGTACCACTTTCTCATTTTTTCAGATAACAAATCAAGGCTCAGAGAGATAGTTCTACAATGACTACATAATTCATAATTATAAACCTACTTTAGGTTTACAATCTGAATTCTGATAAATTCAGTGTTGAGAACCTCTAATACAAAGAATGGCTGCTGTGACTTTTACTACACATGGTTAATAAAAAAATAGTTGATTTTTCATTCGACAAGTATTTGTTGAACCTCTGTTGTGTGTCAGAAAAAGTTGTAGACTATAGTTTTACATTTATATGTTGCCTTATAATTTGCAAAGTATTTTTTCATATACAGTGTCATTTGGCCTTCATATAACCCCTCTGAAAGACCCAGGGTATGTACCATCATTTCCATTTTACAGATGATGAAGCAGAAGCTTAAAAATGTTAAAAACAAGATTCTGGACAAGAATGTAGGTTGACTTTTTAGTTAGACTGACTAGGTTTAAATCATGGCTTACCATCCTGCCCTTAGCCTTCCTGTGGCCTAGTTACCTATGTGAATAATGGGGAGAATAAAACCTGTATAAGCAGTCCTGAGAATAAAATGAAATAATATACATCAACTTTTTAGATCAGTGAACAACACAGCAAATGTATGCCTTTATCCTCATTATATCATTATTACCATTTGTCTATTTTTATATTTCTAATACTTACCGTAATTTGATATTTTCAAATTCTCTGATTTTTAATTCAGTGATTTCTTTTTGTCTCTCTAAATCTTGAGATGCTTTTTTTAGTTTCATCGAAAGTGAGGAGAGAGAGTCATCTTGTTCTGCTACCATCTGTTCCATCTCAGCCAGGCGAATAAAATGCTTGTTAGTAGGAACTGGAGTAGGAGACTGTTTTATTAAATCCTGTAAAATATGAGTAAGTTAGCCATGAGCATATACAATTCAATGCCATACTTACTCCATCATTTTAATTTGGTTCCCTCAAATGATCAAAATATAGTATCTAATCTAAAATTTAATGATTTAATGGGCAATGAAGGCTTAAGGAAGACAGGACACAGAGATCTCATTCTTTGTATTCCCCAAGTACCTCAATGTAGTGGAGGATCAACAAGTGTTGACTGAATTAATGAGTTAAAACTTGATGATGCTAATGTTTGCATGTCTGGAGATGAAAGATAGGCCATTTTACACATATAGAAGGCAAAGACTTAAAGAGGCAAATGTGACCTGAATTTAGAACAGGAAAAGCAGTTGGATGTAGGTAAACATATAATGAGCATAATTTGAAAAGGCAGAATGGGGTCAGATCTAGGAAGCCTCTGAGTACATGGCTAAGGTACATGATTTTGTAGGCAGCAGTGAGCTAATAAAGGGTGTGGATATAGGGAAAAGAATGACAAGGGTTGTGTTTTGTAGATTCTTCCAACAACAAAAGGTGGCTTCTACTACAAAAACAAAAAACAAAATACCCAAGAGTGCTAAATTTTCTATTATATGGTCTCAAAAATCAACAAAGAATAGAACAAAGTTCTTAGATCTTACCTGAGCTGTTTGTTTGAATTTGCTGAGTGAACTATCAGCCTGTAGTTCTAATTTATTATGAAGAATATGAAGGTCTTCCTCATGCTTCTTAACAATTTCTCTTTGCTCCTGTTTTACAGCAAATGAAAACTCTGTTACCTTAAATTAAGATTTAAATATAGTTACATTCTGAAGATCTTAAATATTTTATTATCTTTAATCTTCCAAGATTCCTATGATAGGAAAGGAACAATTATCTGCCTGTATACGTTTACACCAGTATGCATTTCCTCTAGCACATGCTCAAGTTGACAATCTTGTCATAATTTACTTTTAATACTAGAATAATACTAATCGTCTTTTAACTTATCTCTAAAAAATGTTTTAAATGTTTTATTCCCCCCCCCCCCACAAAGTTCTAGCAAATCTGATTTCCACTGTTGACTAGTGTGATAGATTTCTTTCTTACCTTTGCCTGTCTTTAACTATAAACTCAATTGATGTTTTTCAAAATTATATGGTCTCACCAAGATGGCTTTCCTGGTTTAGTCAGTCCATAAGAGAAAGATACACATACACAAACTGCCAGTTTTACTGACAGATTTCTAATCCAATCACATGAAAGTAACAATTCCTAGATAGAATGATTTGAAAGTAAGAAATGAACTACCACTTCAGGGCAGAATAATATTTGACATTTGACTAAAATACATAATAAATTAAATAGTATAACATAATACCTCTCTGGCTTTTTCCAGAAGATGTTGATACTTTTTTAACATTTCTTCCTTTTGATTTAACCTTGCTTGCATGTTTGCAATGGTCTGATGAGCAATTTTCAGTGTATACTGTGATTTTGGTTCTACTTCCTTTCTGCCTAGTTCGGCTATAAGCTTTTCTCGTTCTGCAGTGGCTGGTAATCGAAGCCTCAGTTCATTGATGACTTTGTCTCTTGATAGAATATTTTGCTCTGCTAACCATAAAGCAGATTCTTTTTCTTTCAGTTTCTGCAATGATAAATCGTAAGAAATGATTTAAGTATATTTTCCTCTTTCAAAAAAGTTTCATCTGAATTTTAGATTAGTTATAAACAAAAAGAAAAGGAGTTTCACTTTATTAAACATTATTTGGCTATTGTAAGTATGATGTAAAAAATAAGGTTAAATTGATTAAACTCCTGGGTGACAGTTCAGTTATTGCATGTGTACTTCATTCATTTATAATATTGTCACATGTTAGAAACTTCATTGTTACGATGAAAATGAAATTGAATTAAGGTAATTTATTTAGATCTTGTAGTTTTAAAACTAGAAATGTCTGATAGTGCTAGATTTAGGAAAGAAATATAATAAATCATTCATTTTATTGTGGTCCATTGACAACCCTAGAACAATCCATCCATAAAGGTAAGCTGAGTATAAAAATTGAAATATTAGGTCCAAGACAATGAATCATTACCATAAAATCTGAAGTTTATTAAAACAAAACAGAAAAAAATGTTCACTTTTCAAAGGATTAAGGCAAATATTTTAAGTAACTCGGGCAACTCATATAAATGACGAATACTCCAATTATTGAAGAAAATCTAAGTTTCCTCAATTAATTACAAGTGTACAATTTTACTTACAAAGTTACTTTTAAATGTATTTATAATTAATATGTTTAGATGTAAACTAAAATGAAAATATTTAGTTTATATTATTTTCTCTTTAATACAGATTTGATCACCTATTAATCAAATTTAAGACCTCCATTAAACTAAGAAGTAATTTCTAGCTCTCCTTCTAATGCTTGAGCCATCCATAAAACGAATGAACTGAAAACTGATCAGAGTATACAACATGCACTTCAAAATAAAATAGAAATAAATAAGGATAAAAACATACATCATACATATTGCTCATAGACTACAACTAAATGCTTTTTGTTTCCTTTCAAGGTCATTTCTCTACTGATCAGAATGCCCAAAAGTGACAAGTAGTAATTAAATGTATTGTAAATTTGAATTAGCTATACATGCTTTTCTTCATTGGCTATGAGAAACATTATCGGAGATTGGAAAAGGAGAATGGAATTACCAACAGATTCATCATTCAACACTTCACCCTTATTAAAAAATATTTAGAAAATTCCACAAACATACCCAATAATACACTGATCAAAGTGCAAATTGTTCTAATTACCTCTTCTAGTGATTTACAAGTTGCCCGTGTTTCTAGGATTACTCGAACATTCTCCTTAATTTTTCTTAGAGCAATCTCAAGTTGATTTGGAAGAGGTAAACTAGGGTCTGGCATTGATCCTGTAGCCTCTTCAAACTATTAAGATACAACATTAAAAAAAAGCAGTTGCAGCATTTAGAAGAACAATATTAATTTGTACAACTAGTGTGACAAAACATGGTTAAACACCACTTATACTGGAAATATAAAAAACATCAATTAAAATTCCATCTGACTTTAAAAAAGGTACATGTTACTGGATTAATACCTTTTGTGCTGCACTTAATATTTCATTTTGCTGACGGTCAAAAATGTCTAGTTGACGTTCCAGCTCAACTTCTCTTTGATCCCAGGCCATTTGCCTTTCTTCATGAAACTGAAAAGAGAAGGTTTTTTTTTCATACACAGACACAGACACTCACCTAGCATATAACAGGAACTTTTACATACATTTCTTATTTTTAATCCCAGAACAAACCCTTTGAGGTCACTATCATTCTTCTCCTTTTAGGAAGAAAAGGGAAGCAAACTCAGAGAGGGGAAGTAACTTGCCTACGATCACAGAAATAGGCATATGTGGAGTCAGACTGTCAGTCCATCCATGTACCCATCCAGAACATATTTAATGACATGCACCATGTGCCAAGCATTATTCTAGGCAATAAAAACAAAGCAATGAACAAAACTAAATCCTTTTCACCATGGAACATATATACTAGTGCGGGGTAAACAGTAAATAAATGACTAAATATGTAATATGTCAGAGGGTGATGAGTGCTATAGAGAAAAATGAAGCTAGATAATCCCCACTTGGGGAATCCTGATGGTAGGATTTACCTGTATGTAGTATACAAGTAAGCAATACACTTGGTGGCTAATGAAGGTCTGTCTCTGTGGTAAGTAAGACATTTGAGCTAAGACGTGAAGGCAGTGTGAGCATAAATACAGGTTATCTCAGTATTAGTTATTTGCCTCCTTAACTCTCAGAGAAGGAATAACAAAATTTCTAAGACAAGCAATCATGTGCTTAGTGAGTTTCATCTGCCTCCAAAGCCCATGGACTTCATGCTGCACCGAGCTGCCATCTCCTGGTCCATCAGTGACAGCCAGTAGTAACTTGTAACTGGAAGAAGGCAAATAACTAATAATGAAATAAAAATTAACTTACCAAATAAATTTGGCATTATTCCTTTTAAGTTTAATACTACTATTACAACATAGCTATGCAATTTTAGAATGCTTTGGAAAATAGGAAACAATATTTTAAACACAATAATAATGGGAAATATATTCACTAAGGAGAATAACATAGTTATCTTTAACTATGATGTTCTTACGTTTTAAATCTTAGCAACAAAACACCAAAATAAATATTAAATGAAACCTTGTTCTGCTGTACAATTTCTTCCTCTAGACTGCTGATTGTATAGTCATATTCAGAAATTATATTATTCAAATATTTTATTTCTTCTTTATCCTTGACTAATTGTCGATTTAGTTTAAGCTCTTGAAGACGAAGTTCTTCTATTTTCATATGCCAATTGATTACCTAAAGATTTATAAATTACATATACAAATGTAAATACTACATATATAATATATATCTGTATCGATTAAAATGATTTAAATTGAAATTAATGGATACTCTATAATAAAGAAATGAAACTGTCCTTAATTGAGCCACATGGCAGTTTATTTAGAAATTTCATAGACTTTTCTAAGAGTATGTGGTAGCTTAGCATAAAACATTCTTATGTTGGAATGGAGATGACTAAAATTCACTTTCATTTATTTATTTACTTTCATCTATTTACTGGGTACTTACATAAATATGTAACTTTTCCACTTAACTCTGACCAAATGAGGGCAAAATTAAATCATACTAAAAAATAACTGTGGGCCTATTACTTATAAATAATTTTGAACAGATTATGAAGGGTAATCTTATTATGAAGGGTGGAATTCAACTGATAACTATTATAATGTTTATGAATAATTATAATTAGTATTTAATAAATATATACAGTATTTAAAATTTTTTGATATTACACAATCTAAGCATTTCTACTAAAATTATTGCTTAGAAAAATATTTTTATTTTTATAAATAGGCATACAAATCATCAATACTCCTAATTTCAAGAATCTAAATTAATAAATTATAATTGGAATTTTTATTGCATATTAAGTATTTTTCATATAGGCACATGTTAAAAACTTTAAATTATTACATAACTCTTTTGGAAATATTGAATTTAAACAATGTTTTACCTTCTGGGCTCCCCTGGCGTCCTTTAAAGTGCTTATTAACTCTTCCAGCCCCTTTAATTTTAATTCCATTTCCATGGCTTTGTTCTCCATATTTCTATGTTCTTGCTGAGAATTTTTCATTTCTTGCATTATCTTAAGTTTGTCATTTTGTAACTGAATCATTGTTTTAGAGAACTTCTCCTGTTGTGCCAAGGGTAAGGCTCCACTGAACTGTCGTCGTAGAGACTGAATTGTTTGGCGCAGATGTTTTGCTCTGTTTCTCCCCTCGGAACGGGTGTAACAGAGAGCCTGTTCTTTCTCATCAAGTTTCTGCTCTAAGCGCAAATTATAGGCCTCTACCTTCTGCAGTTTGAATGTGATTGACTCCAACTTACCAAGCGCAGTAGCTTCGCTCACTTGAAGAGAGACAATGTGTTGGTGCAACTTGGCAATCAGCGACTTTTCATCAGACTGTGCCTAATATAAACATATATTTGTGGTAAGTTTCAAGTTTTTCCAGTGAAACATCATGGATTTAAAATCACAACTTACTAAATAAAATTTTAAAGTGTGGTACTTGAGAGACTACAAGAATCTAGCCTTGCTTTAATATAAATTATCAAAAATTTATAAAAGAAAGAATCAGAATCAAACATTTTAAATCCAAATCTGGCATCTAATTAATTAACAGTTGCAATACCACTGTTTTTTTTTTTTTTAACTCCCATATGTTAAAAACAATTCTGGTATTAGACTGGTGTGGACATTTTTTTTGTGTGTGATGTGTGAAAAGCTACATATAAATACAAGAGAAATACTGTTATGAGAGATTTGGTATTTCCCCTCCCTAACTTTAACTTTGATGAGCAGCCAGCACAATGCATTTTGTGGGCATTTAAATGCTTTTTCTGTGTTATGAAATTTCATGGCATTTCAAATTAAGGAGTACTTAACGGTATTTCAAATTAAAAAGTTTTTCAAATCAGGTTATACAATCAGTAAGAACAGGAGCTTCTATTTGATATATCCTCTGACTGAAGGTATAAAATCACTCCAATATCAAATGTACATTCAGGAAAAAGGAACAAATCTGAGTAGAAGAGCCAACACCGTACACACCTGGTAGTCTGACAGTTGCATTCTGATGGACTCTACTTCCTTTTCCCTGGATTGCTGTTGTGCATTCAAAATGTCGACTTGCCTTTTGGCAATATCAGAAATCTCTCTCAGTCTACAAAGTGATAAGATATTTCCTGAATGATTAAGTTACATTCTCTAAGTAAATATCAGAATTTCAAATTTCTAGACCTTTGGAAAAGCCATTAGTTTCCAATATCTCTTCTCTGTATGAAATACCAAAGTCAAGTTTTCTAAACTGTTTTCATGAAACATAATTCTATGAGAGGTTACCAAGTGGTCTGAAAAAAAACCTCCATTTCCAACATCCTTCCCCCTTGAAAATCATAATTCATAATATCATATTAAATGTTGAGAAGGTCTAAAGTAAAATGTTATCTAAAATTGGACATGTACAGCATCTTCTAATGTATATGGCCAAAGACCACCCCCATACTTTTTTTCATAAGACACTAATTATCATAGTTTGGCATAGCTAGATTAAGATAGTAAGTAGGTTTATAACTTAAGAAGTTATAAAAGAAATTTAAAGTTCCTAGGTTCTCTATGTAGATGTATGCTTTTATTTCTTATTTTAATTTACAAGTTATCAAAAATGTGAAGAAGAAAGATTATACATTTAAACTAGAATTCCAAAAAAAAGGGAGAGCTTGATGGTAAGTTATCAAATTTCTTATATGACTACTGTGATAAGTTTACACAGGTGAAGTAAAATGCATTTTACTTCTGAGCTGGAATAATTTTAGTTCAGTGTGACAGATGAGTCAGATTTCCTCATATTGATGAAAAACTCATCACCAGTAATCAAAAAACTACCCAAGAGCAAAACCCCTGGGCCAGATAGATTTACCACAGAATTTTATCAGACATACAGAGAAGACATAATACCCACTCTCCTTAAAGTTTTCAAAAAATAGAAGAGGAGGGAATACTTCCAAACTCATTCTATGATGCCAGCATGACTCTACTACCAAAACCAGGCAAAGACCCCACCAAAAAAGAAAATTAAAGACCAATATCCCTGATGAACATAGATGCAAAAATACTCAAAAAATATTAGCAAACTGAATTAAAAAACCCATCAAGAGGATCATACACTATGACCAAATGGGATTCAACTCAGGGATGAAAGGATGGTACAACATTTGAAAATCCACGAACATCATCAACCACATCAACAAAAAGAAGGACAAAAACCACATGAACATCTCCATGGATGCTGAAAAAGCATTCGACAAAATTCAACATCCATTCATGATAAAAATTCTCATCGAAATGGGTATAGAGGGCAAGTACCTCAACACAATAAAGGCCATATATGACAAACCCACAGCTAACATCATACTTAACAGTGAAAAGCTGAAAGCTTTTCCTCTTAAGATCGGGAAGAAGACAAGGATGTCCACTCTCCCCACTGTTATTCAACATAGTACTGGAGGTCCTAGCCATGGCAATCAGACAAAACAAAGAAATACAAGGAATCCAGATTGGTAAAGAAGGAGTCAAACTGTCACTATTTGCAGATGATATGACATTGTATATAAAAAACCCTAAAGACTCCACTCCAAAACTACTAGAACAGATATCTGAATTCAGCAGTTGCAGGATACAAAATTAATACACAGAAATCTGTTGCTTTCCTATACACTAATGATGAACTAGTAGAAAGAGAAATCAGGAAAACAATTCCATTCACAATAGCATCAAAAAGAATAAAATACCTAGGAATAAACCTAACCAAGGATGTGAAAGACCTATACCCTAAAACCTACAAGACACTCTTAAGAGAAATTAAAGAGGACACTAACAAATGGAAACTCATCCCATGCTCCTGGCTAGGAAGAATTAGTATTGTCAAAATGGCCATCCTGCCTAAAGCAATCTACAGATTCAATGCAATCCCTATCAAAATACCAACAACATTCTTCAACGAACTGGAACAAATAGTTTTAAAATTCATATGGAACCACAAAAGACCCCAAATAGCCAAAGCAATCCTGAGAAGGAAGAATAAAGTTGTGGGGATCTTGTTTCCCAACTTCAAGCTCTACTACAAAGCCACAGTAATCAAGACAATTTGGTACTGGCACAAGAACAGACCCACAGACCAGTGGAACAGAATAGAGAGTCTGGATATTAACCCAAACATATATGGTCAATAAATATACAATAAAGGAGCCATGAACATACAATGGGGAAATGACAGCCTCTACAACAGCTGGTGTTGGCACAGCTGGACAGCTACGTTTAAGAGAATGAAACTAGATCACTGTCTAACCCCATACACAAAAATAAATTGGAAATGGATCAAAGACCTGAATGTAAGTCATGAAACCATAAAACTCTTAGAAAAAAATATAAGCAAAAATCTCTTGGACATAAACATGAGCAATTTCTTCATGAACATATCTCTCCAGGCAAGGGAAACAAAAGCAAAAATGTACAAGTGGGACTATATCAAGCTGAAAAGCTTCTGTACAGCAAAGGACACCACCAATAGAACAAAAAGGCATCCTACAGTATGGGAGAATATACTCATAAAGGGTTGACATCCAAAATATATGAAGAGCTCATGTACCTCCACAAACAAAAAGCAAATAGTCTAATTAAAAATGGGCAGAGGAGCTGAACAGACAGTTCTCCAAAGAAGATATTCAGATGGCCAACAGACACATGAAAAGATGCTCCACATCGCTAGTCATCAGAGAAATGCAAATTAAAACCACAATGAGATATCACCTCACACCAGTAAGGATTGCCACAATCCAAAAGACAAACAACAACAAATGTTGGCGAAGTTGTGGAGAAAGGGGAACCCTCCTACACTGCTGGTGGGAATGTAAACTAGTCTAACCATTGTGGAAAGCAGTATGGAGGTTCCTCAAAAAGCTCAAAATAGAAATACCATTTGACCCAGGAATTCCACTACGAGGAATTTACCCTAAGAATGCAGCAGCCCAGTTTGAAAAAGACAGATGCACCCCTATGTTTACTGCTGCACTATTTACAATAGCCAAGAAATGGAAGCAACCTAAGTGTCTATCAGTAGATGAATGGATAAAGAAGATGTGGTACATATACACAATGGAATATTATTCAGCCATAAGAAGAAAACAAATCCTACCATTTGCAACAACATGGATGGAGCTAGAGGGTATTATGCTCAGTGAAATAAGCCAGGCGGAGAAAGACAAGTACCAAATGATTTCACTCATATGTGGAGTGTAAGAAAAAGAAAAAACTGAAGGAACAAAACAGCAGCAGAATCACAGAACCCAAGAATGGACTAAAAGTTACCAAAGGAAAAGGGACTGGGGAGGATGGGTGGGAAGGGAGGGATAAGGGGGGAAAACAAGAAAGCGGGCATTATGATTAGCATGTATAATGTGTGGGGGCACGGGGAGGGCTGTGCAACACAGAGAAGACAAGTAGTGATTCTACAGCATCTTACTATGCTGATGGACAGTGACTGTAATGGGGTTTGTGGAGGGGACTTGGTGATGGGGGGAGTCTAGTAAACATAATGTTCCTCATGTAATTGTAGATCAATGATACCAAAAAAAAAAAAACTCATCACCAGTTAGGTAAGTTTTAATTAAAATATAATAGAATGAGTGTATTTACAAATTAGTTTACTTCAAAAGATGAGGTCCAGGAAGTGAGAGGAAGGATAAAAAAAAGAAAGGAGCCCTTTATATTGTAAAAAAAAGTCTCTAACTTTCTGGGTAAACTATAAAACCATTTTTACTAGTTATCTGTGCTTGACGGATCAACTCAGGCCTCCTCATACTTTTCTACTGTAGTAACACATAATTACAAAGGAGAGTTAAGAACATGGCATCTACCTGGCACACAGTATTTACATATATTTTGTAAATAATAAGCTGATAAACTGTTTCAACATGAAAATGAAAATAACAATATTACTTCAGGATTATTAAGTATAACTGTATAAGTTAATATACTTAATACCTAGCACAGTACATAGTACATTCCTAATAAATGTCAACTGAATCAAAATCTGAACTTGTTTTTATAGCAACCTTATGAAACAGGCAGAGGCAACACTATTACTGCTTTAATGACGTAAAGAAACTTAAGTTTGAATAAATTAAACAGCCACCACCTTTCCGTTCAAAAATAATTAGTATGTTGAAGAACTAGACCTCATAGGGTCTTGATTCCAAGTTCAGTTTCTTCTGCAATACTATTCCTGGACTCCAAAAATGTGACATCTTGAGAAATAATTTCCTTAATTTATACCTGTTAAAATTAATCTTAATATTATTTAACCCTGTTCCTATAAAAACAAACCAGTTATTAATTTCTACTAAGAATATTACATCTATACCACTGGAATTAGGTTTCTTAAAGATAAATTAGAGGAGACACATCTAATCAAGTGACTAGAAAGTTTGCATGCACTTACTTTGACACTTCAACTTTTAATTCCATCTCATTCTTCTCTAATTCTAGAATTCGTTGCCTATCAGCATCACTTACTGTCTTGCTCACACTCTCAGCTAATTCATCTCTTAACGTCTGTTCCACCTTCTGTGCTTCCAAATTGATTTTGGTAAGCTAAGAAAGAGTAACAAAAAATGTTCAGAAACATCAGTTTTGGGCAAGATTTCCCTTTCAATTTAGCTTTTGGTATAACACAGTCTTCTTTCCTTTGTGCTAGTCCAGATACTTAAGTGGGTGTGAAGTATAAGAATAGACTGAAGAGGGTAATGAGAGAATCAGGAAGAAATTATGAGAACTCTGTTTATATGCCAAACCACCAAAGTCATTTATATTAGGCAATACATAATCTAATAATATCTGAATCTTGGATATTATTAATTTGCTTGTATTACAGTAAACACATTATATTTTACTTCAATTATATCATCTATAAATAAATCTAAATGAGAAAATAAAATCTTACTGATATCTATTTAGAGACTCAAAATAAAATGAAATATATATTTTGAAAAATATACTAATTCTAAAGGTGCTACTTCATTATAAATTGTTGAATATTTTCAAACTATATTTATTGCCATCTGGTTTAATAATTTGGACCATATATTACACTATAAAGTCCCTGAGAGCAGAGACAACTATTTCATTTTCTGCTATAACCCAAGCCCCTGTATAGTAATAGACACTCAATATACATTTGTTAAATGAATGGATGGTAGTGGAAGGCAATTATATTATTAAGCAAATAATATCTTTTTGTACATTATATCTAATAATGAAATGCTGATGAGAAATAACTCATTTCACAGAAACATGTGCTTTCATTTAAAATATTTCAGATTTAAAAACACATCTTTTATGTATCCACTACAAGAAACACAAGCATTTATAAATATGCTACTCCAGAGATGAAAACAAACCTACTACAATAATACAATGTCTATCATGCTAATTCTTTACTCTATAATTACATGATAAAAATTGTGGTATCAAACCTCAGCAAATTTGGTTTCCAATTCAAAATTACGTTCTTCCATTTGCTTTAATGAAGTCCTCACATGTTCGTACATTTTTTGAGAATGTTCAGCCCGTTGCCTTTCATTTAATTCCTTCATCTCAAGCATAGTGATTTTTTTTGAAATAGACACAATTTCGCTGTTGGTTATTGATTTCTTTGCCTTATCCATGTTAGATTCATTACCTACATGTAACAATACTTTGTTATCAAAGTTATATCCCAGACACTTTAGACATTGCATATATGGAGGTAATTTGATCCCAATGGAAAAAAGATGAGCCTTTTGAAGTATGACAGACCTGGCCTGCAGTCTTAGCTCTGTTACTGCCTGCCTGCATACTACCTATCCCATTCAATCTCTGCAGAACTTACACTCTTCATCAATCAAATGGTAATAAAAATTATTCCTCTTAGTATTATTGAAACAACAAGGTAAAAGATATAGTGTAGAAGGTATCATATGTGGGTAACTAAAAGGGTAAATAAATATTTTGTTAGCTGAAAGGATATAAACTGTATAAGGAGCAATACAGAGAAGGGTGATACAAGTGCAAAGACTTTATTTTTAAAGTCACACAGAGGAAGCTGAAAAATAAAATCTAATGCCATATGATTTAGAGGTTTCACCAAATCTTCTTTAACCATCAGTACTATGTGGCCTTTGTATATATCTAATATCAAATATTTTAAATTCTTTTATTAGTTACTACACCTTGATCTTTTTTTTTTCTTTTCATTAAGGTATATATTCCTATGAAGGTTTCACAAGAAAAACAATTTGGTTGCTACATTCACCCATATTATCGAGTCCCCCACCATACCCCACTGCAGGCACTGCCCATCAGTGTAGTAAGATGACACAGAGTCACTACTTATCTTCTCTGTGTTACACTGTCTTCCCTGTGATCCAACCCCCACACCATTACTACACCCTAATCTTATAAGCAGAGTTGTATGGCTTGTCTTCAAACATAAAAGTCTGTGGTTAAATGAAAAGAGAATTAAAAACTCCTAATTTTCGATGAAAAGGCATTACATGGGATTGTCACTAGTTACTTAACCATTTTTTGTGAAGAAAGAGAAAACTAATACTTTTGCTTTGCATAACAGACATGACATGCTCGAGGGAAAAAACAAAATTTGTAGTGTTTTATATTTTAGGGAATCAATCATATGTTCAAGGGATGTCAATTATTTTAAGGACCTAAGCAGTGATTCACTCCACAGAGTCTCTGGGTAACACCAATAATGCCCCCTATTTTGCTAGCTTTACAAACTTGAGTTTAGTAACTGAGTTTACTCAAAGAACTATAAATGTTTTGGAATCAAACAAAAAACTGGGTATCTTCCTGTTTTAAGAAGTACATCATTTTGTTCTGTATGTATCTTTCCAGATACGATTTTAGAATAACTGATCTAATAATGAGCAGCAATGATTACTAAAAGAAGCTGAGATAGTAAACCAGTCCATTACGGAAGAGCAACTCATTCAGGCAACCATAATGAAAGAAAGAAAAATGCACTGAGTATAAATATATAAGGAACATAAAAGCCCTCCATTCTATTTTCTGCTAAACTCTGAGAATGAAGAGAGGCATGCCACAGGGGCTGCAGCAGACCAGCCATCTGTACGTCCTTGTGTTTGGCATGTTCTTAGAGGGTAGAGGACAACAGTCTGATACCAACCAATTCTTGGATGATAGAAGCTGGTAAGGTGACACTTTAAAGCAACAATATAAGGGCAACAGGAAATAAGAAAAGCTTTAAAACTTCACTGATATAAAGCCATGCACTGGAGAGATTAAGGGATTTGAAAATTAAGGAGTTTCCTTAGGGAATTCAACACTTACTAAAGAGAGTTGGGCTAATATGAACAGAGAACTTGCATGTAAAACTCTCTTTTACATCTTATTTTAAAATGGTATTATCTTTCATGTAGGAGCTACATGCAAGGCAATTCGCTTTTATCACTTAATGAATTGAAAATTGCATTTCTGATAGCAGCTTATTCTAGACTTCCCAATGTGAGGCCTCTCTAAACTACATGTCTCAGTTACCAGTCCAATAAAACAGCTCTATTTAGTAACAGAAACTTGAAAGCATTAGAACTCTAAGGTTGGGAAAACAGTAAAAACACCTTATCCAAAGCAGCAAATTTATTTGATGTTGGTCAATACAAATTCCTTTCAAATTTTTTTGATGTTCTATGATTATCTTTTAATTTAAAAATATCCAATGATATATTCCTAATTTTACTTTACATGTAAATAAAATAACTGAATACGATCATTAAAATATAGGTATTTCAAAGTTATCACCAGTCTTGATTATCAAATGGTTCAAAATAGCTAATGCTTACTTATAAATTTTTAGCATATAATTTCACGAGTAAATCTAATTTAATATATAACTGAGAACCAAACTTTGGTAGAGATTAGTATAAGATATTCATCAATTGCCTGACAAATTAAACTGTTAGGCAGAGTTTACTTTTATCAAAAACCTCATTTTCATCTTGCACATAAACTTTAAATGAAAAATATTCACTATCATATCTTAATTATTTTATATTATCAGAGTCATCATACTTACCTAACTTAGTTTCTTGTTCCCAGGCTTGCTCAATAGTGTGAAGTTTTTCCTTGGTAATCTCCAGTTCTTTGCTTATAGACTCCACTTGTTCTTTTAGAGATCCATTTTCACACTGAATAGAACAGAAACATCACCAAAAAAAACACACTGTGATTAAGACTAATACTGTAGAAGTGACATTGTCCTAACTTTATATATTATCTCCTAAAACTCACAAGATCGTTTTTGTTTGTTTCTTTACAAGATTAGAAGTTCCCCCACAGGTAAAACATATACATATGGATATACACACACACACATATAAAAAATATTATTTTAAAATAATCATCAAAATCTTTTGTATCCAATATGAGGCCCTAGACTTCTGAGTATTAGCTTCTGTCATGCTCTTCTTGGCCAAGCTGGAGTACTCACTCAGCTTCACAACCTTCCCAAACCAGTGCTCACTTTCCTCATTCACACAGATCGTGACTGCACATTCCTAGCATGCCATCCATGACAGGTTCTGCCTGTTCATAGTAAAAAGAAACAGACAAAATTCTGGCCTTTCCAAGTCCCACCGTTTGGTGTCTGTGGGTATGTAAATGCAACAGGAGTTGGGGAGGGTGTGGAAGGCAGCAGACAGTAAACAGGTGAGCAAACAAAATCATTAAAATAGTCAAGTTGGAAAGAAACAGAGTATGGACCCAGAGAATAAAAGGAGGTATATCTAGACAGCATGGTTAAAGAAGGTATTAAACACTTGAAAGGCGGCATTTAAGCTGAAACCTAAGGTATGAGAAGGAGCCAATCATGATGAGAAAGCAGTCATGGAAAGAGCTGATACACTGTAAACCCAGGTGCTCTTAAGCAGGAAAGCGTATGGAGTGTCATAGGGCTTGAGCATGTGAGCAGAAATGAGAGTGAAGAATGGCCGAAGATAAAGTTGGAGAGAGAACAGAGGCAATTCCAGGCAAGGCATTGTATGTCAAAATAAGGAACTGGCATTTAGTTTAATATAAAATAGGGGATTATTTAAATATTTCAAAGAAGACATTTTAAGCAATCATTCTGGGTGTAACGTGGAGAATAAATAAAGAAGTAAATAAAGAAATCAGCAATTAGTCAGGAAGATACTGTAAGGTCCAGGTGAGTGATGACCTGGTTTGGACTAGGGTCACAGCAGTGAAAGCAGAAAAGAGGACACACGTGAATTAATTACATTTATGAAGCAAAAATGACAGGCTAAAGAAATGACTAGGAAATAACTCCAATGGTAGCATATATTGATACAGGAACAATTATGAGAGAAATAGATATCAGGAGTTCATTTACATATGTTAAATTTGAGATGCCCTTGAAACATGAGTTGTAAAGTAGGTAATTCCATATAGTACTGAGAAATCAGACTGGACACATCAGTGTAGGAGTTGGCACATAAATAAAATATTTTAAAGCTTGTTTATTCTTTCTTCTAACAAATAAAATGTCTGCTATATGTCAGGTTTTCTAAGCTCTGGACTTCAGTGGTAAAGAAATCCTGTCCTAGAACTTAGTTGTTGGTGAAGTAGTTGGAAAACAAGCCAATGGGCAACACAGTACCAGGTAATAAGTATTGTGAAGAATAATAAAACAGGGTAATGAGATTCTTACAAAAGGGGATGTTACAATGAAAAGCAAGATAAGGAAGTAAACTGTGACTTTCTGGTAATGTGCACAATTACAACCCAGTTCTAGATAGAGTAAAAACACAGAAGGAAAACAAAAGAGGACTTAGAATGTTTTAAATATCTTTCTACCCTTTTTTCCTTTACTTTCAGACTCTGTCAAGAATAATTCTGGTCCTCCTCCAGATTCTGTTTTCTTCCCCAGTGCTAACAATGCCACTCACTTCTACCACTCTCATCTCTCATCTTTAATCATTCTCTCCCTATTAGCTCTGAATTTTCTTTCCCTCTCCCTTCCAACTTCACTGGTCTCTTTCATTAAAAAACAAAAACAAAAACAAAAACTGATAAAACAAATCCTCCTCGATTCTACCTCAACCTATATCTATTTCTCTTTCCTTCAACCATTACATTTCTAGTTTTTTTATTGCTTTATCACCCACTCAGTTTTGTATTTCCTTATAATGCACTCTATTTTTTATATTCTGAACTTGGATTTTCATCACCTTTATTCTCATGAAACTTTACTCTCAAGAGCACCAATGATTTCCTGATAACCTTTGCACCATGACTTTACACCTTTATCTCTCTCTGAGGCGTTTATTAACCATAATTCTGTGCCAAACCAGAGGTATTAAATACACAAAAATGAATGTAAATAGATTCCTGATATCAAGAAGCTTATATTCTGGTAGGGTAGGCAGACATATAAACACTTATAATATGATGTTATATAACTAGGTACAAAATTAAGGATGAATACAGACCCAAGAGAGTGACTTTGTTCTGTGAAGAAGGAGATGCTCCAGAGAAAAAAAAAAATGCCTGAACAAAGTATCAAAACCAGAAAAGAAACTCATTAAGCAAATGAACTGGAAGAGACGGAAGGGCTTTTTAAAAGACAAAGGAAAGAGTAGGTATAAAATAATACACTGAGGAAAAAAAATACTTGCAGAGAGATGGCAGTTCAGTTTCTTAAACAATAGTGTGAAACTTAAAAAGTGTCATAGAAGATGACATGACGCAAGTGAGGGATAATCACAAAAGAACTGGACTTTCATTCTTTAAGTGACAGACTTTAATAAGCAAGGGGGTGACAATGTTTAGAATGATCATTCTGGTGGTAGTAAGGATGTAATGTTGTAGATAGGGATATGAGTAATGGCTACTACAATAAAAGTAATAAAGAATGAAAGTAAGACATTGTTAATAGATATGTAGAGAAATACCTATTTAGAGATCTATTTAGAGACACAGAATTAAAACTGAAATGTGGGAAGGAGAGAAAGGCATACAAACACAAAATTTTTTAAATTCTAAGATGAAAAATATTCTTCAAGAAGATAAAGTTAAAAATTACTCATTGATGTTTTCTACAGGAGATTCCTTACTTAAGGATTTTCTAATGCTAGAGAGGAGAGGAAAAGGACATGAAAGATGGAAAAAAAGAAAATAAATTGTTACTATACCTGAATATTCAGAATATTCTATAAAAATTAACATAATCATCTCTTTAGCAAAAACAGTAAAAATTAAACTGACCATGATTATTTCTTTTTAGTATTAATAAATAATGATTCAGATAATTTTGTCATTGAAAGCTATTCAGAAACTATATGTCTATATGAAAGCTATATATGTTTTGCTTTACTGAATGTGTCCTTCTAAGAAAGTAAAAGTTTTTAAGCTAACAGTACTAGATCTCATTCCACTCCTATCAGAGGATTAAAAAGAGAGTAAGGCAAAAGACATAAACTCCTATTTCTGAAGATGAAGATGAACAAATCAGGAGCTTGTTTTGCCTACTGAGTGTAGGGAGGCCTAGTGGGTCACATTCACAGACCGAATGAGACTTAGGACACTCCATCCTGCTTTTCTGTATTTACAGTAAGAAAGGATGGAAATTTGCAGAGCTCATCCATGGTCCAGGAAGAGCCATTATCTTATTCACTCTCAGTCACATCCATCCCAAGCAACACTAATCAGCCAGAGACCATGAGAGAATAATTTACACTGCGATCAGAGCTAAGGGAAAGGGGTGGGTCCTTAATGATGCTTCCCCTTAGATTAAAATATCCTATCTGTTCCATGCTCTTTTTTTATTTTTAAGTGCCTGGGAAAGAGGTTTGAATGAGCAAAGTCATGTAAGTGGACCAAGGAGGATGACCTGGATGAAGTCATTCAGAAGTCACTGTGTACCTATAGGTTAAGTTATCATCAAAGCAGAATGGCTAATACCACAAGATTCAAGGATTACACAAACTTACCTGTAGGTGTTCCAAGTTACTTGCTCTTTGCACGAGCATATTATCTTTTTGTAAGATGTCCCTGTACTTTGCAGTTAGTTCATTGTATTGTTTATTGGCCAATTCTAGTTCAGTCAGAGGAGCACTATTATCTAGAACTTTTTGGAGAGCTGCGATCTTGAAAATGGCCATTTCCTATGTAAATAAGGATACACTGAGTTAAGCTGGTATTTCTTTCTTGTGAAGCACTAGCAATTTTTGAGGAGGCTAAGGTAATACAACTGGAAGCAAAACACAATTAAGAATCACTTAAAAACAGTATTTCTCATGTAATAAAAATATCACAATAATTATTTTCTTTCATATAAGAAACAGTGTTATTTGGCAATTTAAAATCATAATAAAAATAAAAATAAAGGGAATCCTTTTACAACTCCTGTCATAGTAAAATGAAATTCAGTTAATTTCAGAAAAACGTAATACACAGTGGCAAGAAAACATATTACTCAGAATGTATCTTTGGACGGCTTTTCTAAATTCTGTTAAGACTACAAAAAGAACTTGCCTTTAGACAGCTGAATGGCAAAATTAGCATTACCACAGGTAACCTTTATAGCTCAGCTATTATACAGATGGAGGGGTTAAATAAGAGGAAACTTTTTGTTTACATGAAGGAAACACTACTTAGGGACAAAAACCTCCCCATCACAGCGACCTGTACTAAATAATGTCAAAGGCTGTAAGTTACTTGGCTCATGTTCTACTCATCAGCTCCAGAGCTATATAAAAAGTCACTATTCAAATACACTGTATTAACGTCAAACAAAGTCTGAACTTTGAAGTTCTCTCCAAAGGAAACTGATGAATTAGTACAAGGAATAACCAAACTTACGAAGTGAGGAAGAAAGAATTTCTAACTCATCCATAAAGGAAAATATTTGTAATGGTGCTTTTAGATCTCATTTTGACAACTTTTCTTTCTAAGCAAGTATACGCTACTCTGCTTTACCCTTGGAATACAGTTTTCATTCATTAATGGTTGGGGGAGGGGTTTCCCATTCCTTAAAGATAATACATACACCCCTTTTTTGACTTTCCAATTGTTGCCAAAAACAATTCAGGTTCAACAATCTGGTTGAAGAAAACATTCTAATTCTTTTTTCCCCTGTATTTCACGCACTAGATATATTTGTAATAGTCCAAGAAAAGTATATTCTACAAAACCTACTGCAAAAATAAAAACAAGAATATTTCTAAGTCTCAAAATTTCCTTATTACATGTCCAAACAAAAAGAGTTCACTTTTAACAGGTTCCTTGTTACATCAGGTGTCAGCTCTAAGATCACACTAATGTTAGGTTATTAGTGTGACAATTTCACCCATTACTATCTTTAAAAAGGGATGGTAGGGAACCCAAGTTCATTTGGTTTTATTTTGAAATCTGTGTTTACATGATGCTATGCAAATTTAAACATGTAAACTGAACATGTACATGGTTAAAATAAACTAAGATTAGATGTAAAGTAAGGCGAAGAGTACACATGGCATGCACCTTTTTGTGTTTTTGTTAATATTTGCAAAAAGAAACATTAGAAAGAAAATTAGGTACCTACAGGGGTTTGGGCAGAACAGAGTGAAAGGCATAGGGACAGAAGATTTCTGTGACTGAACACATGCATATTTATATATTCAAATTCAATGAAAAAAGAAAACAAAAGCAAACCCTGAAATAGAAAACAAAAGCCTAACTATATATCGAACATATAGCATAACCACAAAAAGAGGAGGATTATTTCAAGTTACCTTAGAATATATTGCCTTAACTACACATCCTTAGTGAGAGATACTCTAAAGAATATAACAACTGTAAAGAAAGTGTAAACTAAATCTGGTAGCACCGCTGTTGTTAATACCAACACAAGACTGTCTTCAAACTAATGTGTGATATTGTAGGATAAAACAAATATTTAATGTTAATAATAGAGATTGCCATGTAAGAAAAGAGAAGTACAGGTATAAAATCAAAGATCAGTAGAAGATCCATACTGTTAACTTATACCATAGTATTAAATATGAATTGGAAATAACCTTATAAACTCATAGTTTAATATGTACATATTTCCCTAACTTGCCCACCACTGAAACCTTAAGAGCAATGACACCTAGTGACCAGTTTTTGGTATGGAAATGCCTTCTCTACCAAAAAGGACCAGGGCTTTTTAGAGAAATGGCTTATTTCAAGTCTGGGTAAGAGTATCTAAGGTAAGTCTTGGAGATCTTGTGCCAGAAAACAAACCAAGCTTTGAAACTTGGTTCAATGACTAATGGATTCTTGTCAAAAGGACACAGAGCCAGATTTAAAAGGCTCCCACTAGCTAAAGTTGAGACAAAAGAATGACTCCAACCAACTAAAACACACAGAATATTTAAACTTGTGTGAGTCTATAATGATAGTTAAAGAAAAAAAAGCTGAGGGAGTGGAAAACAGATGTAGAGTACACCAACTTTGATTTCTGAAAACTGGTTATTACAAGGAAAGAATGAAGTTTTTATCTTGCCTTTTTAGTGTGATCTATAATTCAAGATAACCAAATAGCCCAGGCTAAAGAGGGAGAGCTCTTTATTACACAAACAAATATCTACTAATAAATGTTGAAAGCATAAGTAGAAACCATGATTTTTGCAACTCCTAATGAAATAACTGAGAAAGGCAGTAATGATCATCAGTAGATGCTAAAGCATTAGGAGGACTGACAAAAAATTGGTTATTTGCATGGTACCAAGATATCACCAGTTAACAAAATCACTTAATAATAGAGATATGGCTTTGCCCTCATTAATACAGTAATCAATCATGAAAACTAGGACTACCACACATTCCATCTTTTGAAGTAATATAAAATAAAGTGCAAAGCATTATTTATGAAGTGTTCTTGCCAAAAATGTTTAACCTGATACAACCAAGGCTTCAGAGCTAACTGTTAGTTAATACAATGGATAGAGGAACAAGTAAAACTGTGCAAGAAAATAATCAGATAAATCTTCAATACTTTTCAGATAGAAAAAACAAACAGTGGAGATTCTATATTTAAAAGACTTGGGACATGTAACTTCCAAATGAGATGCAGGGTCCTTGACTGGTTCCTGGAACAACTGAGGGAATGTGAAGATGTTTTGGATATTAGATAATGTAAAAGAATTATTGTCTATTTTGTTAAGTGTGATAAATTGTCATTATATAAACAAAAAACTGTTTCTCAGAGATACACACTCAAATATTTAGGAGAGAAATGTCCACAGTATAAATATTCCAACAAAAAAATAGATGAAGCAATTGTGACAGAATGCTAATGTTAACTGTTAATCCAGGTGATGGCTGTTCATTATACTAATCCTGTCTTCTTCATATCTTAAAATTTATATAGTCAGAAGAAAACCAAAATGTACCTTAAATCGCTGCAAACGACCAATTTTTTCACCAATTTCAGCCTCCATTGATACCAATTCATTCTTCTGTTTCCCATTTTCTTTTCTAAGTTGTCGCTCCATTTCTACTAACATAGTATACTGTCTTAGGAGTGTCTTTTCGTTCACCTGCAGCACTGTGATTTTTCTACTACTTTCTGAAAGTGCTTTTTTCATTTCATCCGTATCCAGCTGAAGAACGTTGAGCAAATTCTGCAGAAGACACATTTATATTGTTTGTTAAACCTAGCTATCTTGGCTTGTATATTGATTATAAGGTATACTGATTTTAATCATGGTGATAAATATTGCATATTGATTTTAAAAGTGTTTTACTTACATTATATTCTTTTACTCTTACAGTATCTTGTTGGATTTGATCCTCAAGTTTTCTCTTTTCCTCTTTCATTGTGTCAGATTCTGTTTCCCAGATCTCCTTTTCACTTAAAACAAAAAAAATGACAAGAGAATAAGCCTCAGAAGATATTCAACTACAGGAATAGACAACTATAGATTACAGAAATACTAAGTTTTTATAAAACAAGAGACAGCATAGCTACCTACTTGGTATCTGATAACATAAGATCAGATAATCACCTGATAATCCATTCAAAAAGGATTTAGCCTACAAGTTATATTTTTACTTAATAAATATAAGGTAAGGAAACTATTTTATCAAATTATTTTCATTATTCCATGAATCATCACTCTATAAGGGTTAAAACAATTGAAGATGAATCTTTTAAACATTTTATTAAAAATTAGAAAGTGATTAGGAAAATAATCAATACTCTAAATTAATTCTGGAAATTAAGTCTCAATATTCTGACCCAACTCTTAAATTTAAGTGTTAAATACTTGTAAAATATTTAGAATGCAAACAACATTAAAAATCACTAGACTGTGCACACTGCTACCTTCCCAAGAGAGACTCCACAGTCATCTGTAATTTTTCTCGGCTCAGACGTGGACATATGACTGGGACAGTTTACTAGCTCAATTCTAGCTCATAATATCTGTGCCACAGTCTGCTGGAAGCCTCTAGAAAAAAAATTTTAATCTAAAAATAAAAAGTTATGTGGAAAAAAATGCCCCTGTTCTTCAGTGGGCACAGTTCCGTGCTCCTTGAACTCCAGCATCTATTTTAAAACCACAGTAGGAGATAATGACAACCCCTAAATATGACCTATAGTTAGCTTCAGGCTTCTTGTTAGATCAGATAATAATCACCCTTCATGTTTAAATCACCTTTGATCAAGTATTCTGATCAATACTAAGGAAGATATTCTATTGATATAGATGATATCAATGCAGAAACATATTCTTTATAAAAATATATGAAGAATGATGACAGTGATGATGAAAAATGATGCTAACAGCTGACATTTACAAAGTGTTCATATGTGCCATGGCATTTACAAAATGCTTGTATCTTGAGTATCTTCATGTAACAATTCACTTAAATTTAGTAACAACCCTGTGGAAAGATATTACTATCACAGAATTTTAAAGATAAGGAAACAAAGTGGAGGGGAAGAAGACATGAGGGCAAGTAAAACAAAATACCTCAATATTTTTTATATTACTTTCATGATTAACAAGAATATGTTACCATGATCTTTATAAAGTTTTGATGACACCTATACCTTAGATATTCTTTGTATAATAGGCTTTGTTGATGACGAATTACTGCAAACTTTCTGTTATACTCTTCAAGAGAATCTTCTAAATTCTTTAACTTATTTTCTTTATATTCTAGTTCCTAAAAATTGGTTTAAAAATAACAATGAAAAAAACCATCAGAATGTATTTTAAATTTGGAAGTATAAATTAATATTCTAACAAGATTGTAGAAAAATATAAAAGAGAATAGTTACCAAATCAGTCATTTCTGTAATATTTTGAACATTTCAATTTAAGGCATATAGAATGAGGCAATACATATAAAAGTGGTCTAAAACAGGTACAATTATTTTTATCATATGAGAGTTACAATAACCATACTATCAGAATTAGTCGTTACAAACTTACCTCTAGTCATTCTGCCCCACATATACTTCTGTGAACACACATATTTACACCTCCACTCATATTATCCTTTTCAGTTATTTCATTTTAAAGATGAAAAAACTGAGATTAGAAATATTAAGTAACTTACTCAACATTAAAAAACTCCTTAGCACTACACTTAGCAACCATTTGCTGAGAACATATGTCAAGCTTGGTGCCAGGTGCTTTACATATATGCAGACTTAACACTTGAGTTCAGTCTGCCTGGTTCCAGAGGCTTTGCTACTTCCATCACTCTCTGCTGCTTTAGGACTGGGAGGCCAAGTACCTGTTTTGCTACTTTGAACAGGCTTTCAAGATTCCCAATTAGTGTTCTCTAATCCATCACAAGGCTTATGATATGTTTGAAAAAAACCACATATTTTATCTCAAGTAACATGACAATGCCATCCTGCCATTACTTGTTGACAGTATTCCTGTACTGCAGAGTAAGAGGAATCATAAGAGTTATTCTGCCTGTCAATCATACACTTCGTATAAAAGACACTTTCATATTTAGCTTTCTGTATTTGTCTGCACAAGTGTACAAGGTGTGCCAGCGTACTTTTCATGATGATGAGTGGAATAAACTGTTTTTATTCCTATTAGTCCATCTAACATCAAAATCTATGTAAACTATATCTCACTATTAATATTCTAAGAACTCAAAGGAACACATGAAGACCAAATTTTAAAAATTTAGCCTAAAATTAAAAGCCTCAATTAAAAAACTAAAATTAAATTTAAATAAAAAAATACTATTAATTTCTTTTGTTATTCACATGTAAAATTTTCAGTACCTGTAAGATATGTATTAAATATTCATTTTGTGAATTAATGATATTGGCAGTAGATGGCGCTATCCCATCAGGTAAGTCTACTCCTTTAAAAACAATGTTTGATCCTTGTGATTGTCGTAAAAGACTGGTCTCTTTTTCAAGATGCTCAATCTGGAAACAAACAGTTCAGGAATGAGAAGCACATCTCCTACACCCAAAGAAAGACAAATTTAAAAGCAGTAAATTTACACTTTCTACTGAGGATTTTAAAAAGTAACTATAGAATACCCTGTCCCCAATTATTTAAACCATGCTTTAATTTCTACTTAGAATACCTAGATACAGATTTAGAGTCTCTGTATTCTCTTATATCACAAGGTGTTTATTTTTCCATTTAATTTAAAAGAAAAAATCCAAACAGGAGCTTTTTTAATGTTAAAAAAAAAATACCAGGGGCATAAATAGTATGCCATAGTCATTTAAAAAACTTAAAGTTTCATGTTAAACTTATGTTCATAATGCTCAGCATTTTCTATTATTTACTAAAATTGTCACCTTTAAATTTGCTTTTGCCAACTGCTGACAGTAATTTATAGCTTCCCTCCGAGATTCCCTGAGCTCCTGTCTTAATTCTTCATTCCGTCCAGTAAGTTGATTAACTTGGGCTTTCAAATGCAGATTGGCATCAAAGATTCCTTCAGCATTCTTTGATTCTATAGCCTAATATATTTAGATTAAAGAAGTGTGAAGAAAAACACTAAAATCATCCAAAAAAAACCTTCCCTTTAAATAAACTTCACATTTAAGCATTTTACTATTCCTATTGCATACATAACAAAATATGCCAAATCTACTTATTTATTAATTTAAATTTATAAAACTCTAGTTTAACTTACATTAGTATTAACAAGCATAGTAATTACTTCATTATAACAATTAACAAACATCTAGCTAATCTTGGTATATTGGCAGACTAGAAAAAGAGTTGGAGAGGAAAAAGATGACTAGGGTTCAAATTTTAACCAATCTCTTACCAGCTGGGGAAGTGGTATGCTTTATACCTTAGTTTCTTATCACTAAAGAAGAGGAAATAATGTTAGCTCTGTCCACTTCACAAGGTTTTATATAGTCAAAATGAGATAATTTATATGTAAATGATTTGAAACTATGCAGCATCTGAATTTAAAGGATGAGCAAAGGAATGAAATAGCTACTACATTCAATTAAGTGAATTTTTCATTGCTTCCATTCCATACAGTTGAAGTGTATATGATAACAAAGGCAAAGTATGAAAACAGTATATCCAAAAGTACCGGATAAGAAAAAAAAAAATCAAATATCAAAGTGTTGTCAAAGATGCCTCACCAGTCCTAATTCTCCAACAATGGCACACATAAATATACATGCACCCATGGACACATCTATGTAAAGCAAGATATAAATATATTTGGACTTGAAAAGAATTGTATAGAACAAAACTACTATATACAAAGCAAAGCTTCAGAAAAGAGGATAGAAGACAAAGTTAAGATGAGCAAGCCAAATGTAAGCTACTCAGAAGGGCAGTAGACATATAACAGTAAGCCTTTACCCTAAAGAGATCAGAGTGGACATTTGTAGCAGTAAGTTATGCTAATTCAAAGGGGATCCAGGAAGGTGGAAGGAGGTATTCTGATGGACACCAAAGTAGTCTAGCTGGTTGTCTTCCTAAGAAACAGCACTATGTTTTGGTAAAATGAGATTGGATTAGGTGGTACTTAGGGACACTGAAAAATATCCTGTAGCAACAGAAAGTGAATGAAGTGCATAATCTAAAATTATCCAATCTTAAGTATTACTGACTCTGAAGATCTCTTAGAGGAGGTATTGTTAGGTCATTTGTGGCTTTCAGACAGGTCATATCAATCAGAAAAAAAACAACAACACAGGAAAGAAGCAGATGAAATATCTGGAAGCAGTGGTCCTGGGAAGGTCAGAGGCTGTCAACTGAGATGGAAAAAGAATTTCCCATGCTACTCACTCTGTATTTGGTCCCTAAGCAGAGTTTCCTTTGGACCTGAGATGATGCAGTACACGTAGTGAGTAGCACCACAGACTAAAGATGTCCACATAAGGAAGCATGAAGAGTGACTGTAGACATTCGAAATGGAAGAGGCAAAGCAAACTCACCAAGTGGAGAAGCAAAGTCAGAATGAGTAATATATGAGGGGAATTAAACGTTTCTCATAAATTTCATCAAATGATTTTCTTGCCTCAGGAAGTTTCTGACATAACAGTACACTCTTCCTCTCTAGCAATATGGTGTTGTTTAAAAAATAGTGTTGAACTATTGACTAACCAGAACAAAAGCAATTCAATAAGTAAGAATGCCTTCTATTTAAATCAAGCAAAAATTTGGGACATAGTATATGCTAAATCTCCAAGCTAAATATGCTAAATGTGTTCAGATTATGTAAATGGCATGTAATTAAATATTAGGAATATAAAATATATATTTTATTCAAGCTTATGTAATGGATGTTAATACTATAGAATCTTAAGTCCCTAAATGGTAAATATAAATAGAGTAATATCTGATAGCTAAAATCTTTCGTAGCAATGCTTAAGACTCTAATATTTACAACATTCTTACTATGTTCTATGATACTTCTAGGTTTACGGCATAAGGTCCTAACAGACCTACCTTCCTGCATTTAGACAGTTAATACAGAAAACAACTACTTAAAGTTTCTACAAAATGAACAAAGGCAAGCAGACTATGGTGGGTACTTGCAACTTGGAAGACAGGACCTGCAACAAGTGAATTTGCCATTTTTAAGGCATTATTGTTGAGGGCAGGCTGCTGACATAGTGACCTGTAATTTTCTGGACTAGGAACCAGAAGGTAAGAGCCCAAAGTGAGAGGGGGAATCCCCGAGGAAAAAGAGCTAACAAAAGGTAGCTCCAAATTCTGTGTAAAAACTCTGCCAGGTCTCAGCTGACCCTTGAAAGATAAGAATGGAGATCACAGAGGAAAGTATCAGTGAACCTGTAGCATATAAATAGCAGTTATCCAATAAGGAGAAGAAAAGATAAAAAATTAGGGGAAAAAAACTGAACAGAGCCCCAGGGATCTGTGAGACAGTATCGGAAAGTCTAACATGTGTCACTGACATCCCAGAGAGAATGGGACAGTAAAAAGTAACAAGATACAAAGGTGTCAATTTTTCAATTGTGCATAACATTAGTAAACAGATTCATGAAGTTCAAATTCCAAACAAAATATACATAGACACACACACACCCCAAACTAGGCACATTATGGTCAAACTGGTGAAAACCAAATATAATGGAAAATTTTGAAAGCAGCCTGAGAGAAACTACATATTACATACAGGGAGACAATGACTCATATTACAGTAGATGTCTTATCAGAAACTATGGAGGCCTGTAGACAGTGGAACATCTTTAAAGTATGAAACAATAAAATAAGACTATTTTACATGTGAAATGCTTTTATTTTAATATAATATGAAAAAAGAACTTACATTAACAAGTCTTTCAAGACTAGGGATAATTAGAGATGTTTCTCCTTCTTTAACATCAGGATCTTTCTGCATTTCCTTAATAGCTTGCAATATTTCTTTCATACCTTCTTCAAGTTGCTTATTTTCTTCAACTAATTCTTTTACTAAAATGACATTTTTCTCATTGAATGAAGAGATCTTTTATAGATGACATATATCACGTATAGAAAAAATACTCACTTGGTAAATGCAAATGTAAATAAATGTACAAAAAATTCAACTATGAATCCAACTTGTAAATAGTTGAGTTAAAAGCTGTTGATAAGGCTTGTAAAGATGAGTTAAATGGTATACCTATTTAAATCATGTGCACATACATATATATCTCATAGCTGAAAGATATAAATCATAAGCATACTTTGTTTTCACTTTTATATTAAATAATTTCAAATTTGTTTTTCTAACTTCATGTTAATTAAACAAAAAAGAAAAAATGGACTTATTTATCATTACAATAAATTCAGATTAATAATATTTTCAGACAATGAATACAGCACGGCACACCAAATGGATGAATAAGAAAGACCAAAGTCTATATATTATGGAGGCAGTTAAGGCTAAAACAGACTAGAAGACAGAAATGTATTAAGGTCCTTCCTGATTCATGATTTTCAGGATAAGAAAAATAAGCATAGAAAAGTAAAAGATAATGATAACTTACATTTACTCTGAAATTTGGCTACGATTATTCTACTTCTTTCTAAATCTCTTTCCTTTTCTATTAGTTGTCTTGAAAGAAATTCATTCTGAACAAAACATAAATAGAAAAAAATTGATCTTTTTTTACAAAGCATCACAACAGTTTATAGTTTTCAAGGTAAAACAATGTTGATCAATTGAGGTATAATACCACAAAAACAAGCTGTAGTGGCACAGCTTATTTATAAAAATAAAATAAAACCTAAAAGGTAACAACTGATGGTAATCCTCCACCTTCTTTCCCCCACCCCCATGGAAAAAGGAAAACAGATGCAATGAAAGTTTCTGTCTTATTACCACGATTGCCTCTTCTGATGGTCTCCTTCACACTACCTGTTCTGCCTGGCTTCTGTGGTGCTCAGGCTCTATTTCTGCACTTCTACTCTGTGCTTCTTTGATCAGAAGGTCCTGTGCTATGACTTCATGCTAAAGAAATGTTTAAAAATTAGGCAAGTCAATGAGTTCCTATCAATGCACTGCATTTTTGATATTTAAAAAACAGAATGTGTATAAATTAGTGTTATATGTGCAAACATAAAAAATTCCTTATTTTAATTAATACTTACAGAACTTTTTTAGAGAAGTCAAACAAAGAGAAAGTAAGAAAGCGATCCCAGGGATAAAATTTATAGGAAAGCTTACCTGAGATCTAAGAAATACTAGTTCTCTCCATAGCTGTTCTATAAGATTTTCAACTTGATCTATCTGAGATAATTCTGATTGTGCAGTAGGCGGTACAGGGTTCAGATTAACTTCACATTTACTTTTCAAAAGCTCTGTCTGTAAAGGCACATTATTTCCTCTTACATCTTCTTTCACACTATCAGCATGTTTTATTTGGGTTTGAGCCTGTTCTTCTGATATTGCTACTTGTGATTTATCCATGTCAGCTCTATTATGATGAATATGTTGATGAAATATTATAGATTTTTGCCTAAGTGATAACTTCTGCATTAAGTCTGAAGCTGCTGACAAGGCTTGTAAAGATGAACTGCTTTTTTTTGTATGAAACTAGTCTGCTCAAGTGCCTGATGGCTTCTTGAAACTATCTTCAAACAGTCATCAGAGAGAGAGTATAAGTCGTCATGTATTCCTTCATGGCTCTCCCTACTAAAGGTACTAACAACTCAAGATTTCTTAAAGATTGGAGACATGGTGCTTTAAAAATCTCCCTTATTGTAATAGTTCCTGGAGGTGAATTACTATCTTTTACTTGTACAGATGAAGAATGTCTAGTTAAAGAGACAAAAGGATCCACGTCACTTTCTGCACTATGCTGAGTCTCAGGTAACATTGCTGATGATGATCCCATAGTCACACTCTCTTCTGGCTCATTCTGATACGACTGTGGAATACTGAATGATGGTTTTGCCACAGTTCAATTTTATCTGAACTCATCTGTATTCAGAGTAAATAATATCTCAATCAATCACTGGATCAACAGCTTATTTAAATAAGAAAACGCTTTGCTTTTATTTAACAACTATAAAAAGAAGTAACTGTCCAGAATGAGATCATGGGAGCAGGGATGACAGCATAGACAGTTACACTTCTCTGTGCAACAGCAATGCCATACTGTTTACCTTTGATTGTACTGCATTCCTATTTTTGAGGCTCACAAAATCAAATTTCCTTTCTCCTATTTTATTCTCTAGAGAAGAGTTTTCAGTTAAGTTCAGGTCCTCAATGGTTAATCCTATATATGAAAGAATTAACAAATTAGAAATTTAAAAATAACTATTACTCTAGTACTCTAATTCTTAAAAACTAGGACCAAGTTTTAACTCAAACAAAAGGTAGATTATATCCAAAATCCTTTACCCACATGTAGCTGATAAAATCTTTTGATTTAGTTCTCTTTTAATAAGATATTAATATGAGAACTAATATGAATTTTAGCTTCTCCATCATTCTTTGCCCATTCTACACTAAAGTATTAATAAGTATGAAAGTAGTTAAAAGACATATAAAGAAATATATGAATAATCAATAATGAATTAACTGGTTAATATATTAACAAATTATGAAGTTTGGCTCTTCTAGAAATCTCCATATGATAAGAAAAACAACAAAAACCCAACAAAAAAACAAACACACCCCTCTATTATTCACAGGTACTTGTAGACTTTGCTCAAGTTAAAAAAAGTCCCTTCTCTGTAGTCTTCTTACAAAAAGGCACTGCAATAGCTAGTATAAAACTTAGCCAACTACTGTTCTCTTGATAATAAGAGAAACAAATACACAAAAATGCTAATTTGTATTCAATAAAATGTAACTTTCACTTAGTAAAGTAATTTACAAAGGAAGTTTTCGATGCATAGCTCTTAAGGGAAAATATTAACAGCAACATACATTGACACAGAAGAAACTGCTTTATCATTATTAATCACAATGTATTGGGATTGTCTCTAAGTTAATAGAGAATATACTGCAACTATTTCAGAAGTCCATGATTCTGAAGTTTGTTTTCTATTCACTTTCTTTTTAACACCTTCTTCAGATTTATATGACATTTATATACTCCTCTCAAGCAATTACTTTCATTTATTAAGCTTGTAGCAGAGCCACAGTAATACAGCAAAAATATTTCTAACATACAGAAAACTTAGATCCATACAATTTATTTTCCAATGATTCTTTTCTAGGTTTAGAATAACTGAAAATACCTGAGGTTGCAGTTCTCTTTCCTCTTTCTTGAGCCATTAGGCGTATTTTTTTTTTCAGATCAAGTCGTTCTTCCTCTAGACTTTCAATCTACAAAGCATAAATTATTAGTATTCCTTTTTATTTCAACCAGGGAAATAACTAATTGACTACCACCACTTGCCTCTTTCAAAAGGATCTGGTTTTCAGCTTTGTACTGCTGCTGTTTTAGGCTTTTGCTATTTCTAAATTCAGTTAAATCAATCATTGTCTTCGGTTCAAGGCCTAAAATAGACAGCAATATGATTAAAACTTTACCAACATTCAAATGAGCTATAAAAACTTCATATAGCAACTGGTTATTATCAAACAACTGGTTATAATTTATTTATCAAGCATCATTGGAGAATGGGATGCTTTTTTGGCAAGAATTTTCCAGATATTTGAACTATAATACAAGTTAAAATTTTATCACAACTATTAATGGAAATCCTGACAAAAATGTATTATATCTGTCTCCATGTTTGGCTGTCACAGAGGTACTATAATGTATTAAAAACAGAAGCTTTCAAATAAAACAGACTTGGCTCAATTCCTACTTTTAACTTTAAAGCAAGTTAGAGGGCTAATACTGTATTTATTTGTTTATTTTTGGCTTCTCGAGAGTATGATAAAATGGATACAAATAAAGTACTTAGTGTAGTGCTTGGTACATAGTAGTCATTATTAATATCAGTATCAATTATATTATCATTACTTGTCTTATGCCCCCAGTACAACAGGTAAGGTAACTTCCTATTGCCAAGCAGCTCTGCTCTGAAAACCAGATATCAAGATTGTGTCATGTAATTATAAGCCAAGATCTAAATTACAGAAAATCTGCTTACAACTATTATTTTCTTTTTGTTTCTTTGTCTGATTTTCTGTTATAACTATCTAACTGTGTAATATTTAGAAACTTCCAGACTGAAGATGACTGTGGTCTGACAGCTCAGGTTTACAAGAAGTCTAACTTGAGGTCCTGGCGTGACTCTGGGTCCTACTTAGACACTCTTTTTAAAATAAATAACCCGTGTAAAACATTTATTTTTCGTTCCTCTAGAGAATAGTTTTAACAGATGATCATTTTAATTCTAAGAAAGCACTAACTGGTATTTGCCAAGTATAATGAAATCAATGTTTAGATTTTTCTTTTCAAAGTAGCAATGTAGATTGTACTGCCATAACTTAACATTCAAATGAACAATTTACTAATGAAATACTTATTGAAATGAATATATAAACTCTCAAGTTATATTTGCTAATTACTTCTTAGAATCAATAGTTAACTGAACTCAACCAAAGTAAAACTTAAACAGTCTAAATTATGAAAGTCAATTACTTAAAAGGTCTTAAAAAAGATTTAAACAATATTTCTAAATGTCTTCATGGATTCATCTGAAATGAGAACATTTTGCAAACTAACATGGGTCACATGGGACCTACTTTTGTTGAAGAAAAGGGTTAGTATCTAATATGTGTTATTAACTTAGACTTCCATTTTTTAAGCAAGCAATTATTACTGAGGAGGCCCAGATTGATTAAGGCAGTGCCCCTGGCTGGCTCACCCACCAGTACTGCTTCTGTCAGAACAGCTCCATTTTTGTTTTAAATATTTTTATAGAAGGATCTAGGGGAAGTAATTCAACTATTTTAAAATAATAACTAAAAGAAAAAAGATGACTTGACAATGAAGGTTGAGCAAACTATGTATCTTAAAAGACAACTTACCCATGCGCTCTCTAAGTGCCTCATTTTCATCAAGAAAATCATTGATCTTCAATTCAAGTTTATTGATTTCCTTCGTCAACACTTCAATTTCTCGATCTCTTATTTTAATTTGGTTTTTACAATTCTTTATTTCAATAACAGCATCTTCTAAACCATATACTCCCTGAAAAATAGCCAATTGAATTTAAATATAACATGATTTATTTGAATAAATTATCAAATTCACGAATTTATTTTCTTATTAAGTCTGAGGGCAAGTGTACACATATACCTAAGATGATATCTATACTTTTTTTCTTTTTTGCACTTTTAAAAGACAAATTCAGTGATAATGATGGAAAATGGAATAGTTGAAACTTCCCAGCTCTGCATCCTCACAACAACATAACTCAGAATATTACATACAAAATACTTGGCAAAATATAGAAAAGGAATAGTAAGAGTGACTCACTGTTACCATCAGAATATTATTTAAGTCATTAGCTCCCTCAGTAGTAATCAGATTTAAAGTTATCAACAGTACAAAGCAAGGCTGTGTTGGCATAATAGGCAACAAAACTGTCTCTGTCATTCATTTATCAAAATAACCAACAGTGTCACGTCTCCAGGGCAGCACAGTGACACAGATTATAGAGAGTCTGATCCTGCTGCCTCATCAAAGCTAATTATCTGGGTAAAATGCTTTGATCAAATGGTTTGCAAACACTTCTGCCAAAGAGTAAGTGTTGCTCAAAAGTTTGAATAATTTAGTATAAAGCAATCATGACAAACTTTACCATAAGACACTTATGGAATGTCTTAAAATGGTACACAACAAATAGTGCAGAATGGTCTAACTGTGGGTGGAAGAAGTAATTCTAAGCTATTTGATTGACAAGATAAAAATACATACTGATTCATAATCTTTTAATCGCTTCAGAGCCTCAACTAATTCTTTATCCTTTTCCCTAGCATCAGCCTCGGCCAGTTCAGCTGTTCTCTCAGCCTCTTTAGTTTTCTCTTCTAAACTTTGAAGCTTTGACTGAATTTTCATGAAACGAGTCTGTTGAGAAAGTGTTGAAGCACCTACACAGTAAAAATAAAAATCACGAATTAACTGAATTGACTCCTTACTCCTTTAAATCATCGCTTCCAATAAGAGAGCAGGAAAAGCAGTGTATCACTAAAAAAGTTTCTTTTTTAATATTACAATGTAATATTTTCAAAGTAAAGTTCTGGTTTTGTTTTATTAATAAAACAAACTAAAAAACAAAATTTCAATAAAATCTTAGCTAAAAGGGATGGATTACAAAAGATTACGATATACTGCTTTATAAAAAATGATTATGGCAAACACTGCTAGCTATAAGTTCCTACTATGCAAACACCCTTTTGTCTGCTGTGACGGATCAGAGATTTTTAGCCAGACACATAGCCAGACACAGAAACATAGACACAAATAAAGACTATGTTTCCACTTATTCTCCAGCAGTTAGGTGTGGTCATATGACAAATGGGATATAAACAGATAGGCCATGTGCATATTTGAGGAAACGTTTTTAAAGGAGAGGAGTGAATCTTTCTCCTTTCTCCCTCCTGCTAGCTGAAATATGGGTATTAAGGCTGGATCTCAAGCCTTCTTACAACATGAGATGGAAACCACATACTGAGATAGGCAGGCATTTGATCCCTGATACTTGTACAACTATCACACCAACCCTGAACTGTCTCAACCTTGTCCATATCATGGAAAAATATATTTCTATCTTGTTCAACCACTGTTAAATTTGATTTTTCTATCACTTACAGATAAATTTAATCCTAATTAATAGCTTAAAAAGCCCAGCTTATACTGTCTTACCAAATTGTTGCTAGACCAAAGTATAGTATTCCTATACAAATCATTCTTTTTTTTTTGAGAGGGCATCTCTCATATTTATTGATCAAATGGTTGTTAACAACAATAAAATTCTGTATAGGGGAGTCAATGCTCAATGCACAATCATTAATCCATCTCAAGCCTAATTCTCGTCAGTCTCCAATCTTCTGAAGCATAACGAACAAGTTCTTACATGGTGAACGAATTTTTACATAGTGAATAAATTCTTACATGGTGAACAGTACAAGGGCATTCATCACAGAAACTTTCGGTTTTGATCATGCAATATGACCTATAAACCATCAGGTCAAATATGAATATTCATTTGATTTTTGTACTTGATTTATATGTTGATCCCACATTTCTCCTATTATTATTATTATTTTTATTTTTAATAAAATGCTGAAGTGGTAGGTAGATGCAAGATAAAGGTAGAAAACATAGTTTAGTGCTGTAAGAAGGCAAATGTAGATGATCAGATGATCAGGTGTGTGCCTATGGACTAAGTATTAATCCAGGCTAGACAAGGGCAGCAAGACATCCACGGATGCAGAAGATTTCTCTCAAAGCAGGGGGGGTGAGGTTCTGAGCCTCACCTCTGTTGATCCCCAAATTCTCACCTGATGGCCCCCCTGCGACTGTGCCTGTCTTAGGTTGTTCCTCCCTTGAGGAATCTTACCCGTCTCTGGCTAACCAGTCATCTTCCGGGGCCATACAGGGAAATGTAAAGTTGGTAAGTGAGAGAGAAGCCATATTGTTTGAAAAGGTTAGCTTTTTACTTCTTTGCAGATTTATGCCCTGTGGCTTCTATGCCCAGCACTTGTCTCGAGGTATCTTTACCACCTGGAGGAATTATGATACTCGGTAAATTCGATATGAGGCACGAATTCTATTTAAGGGTTGTAATTAGGAAGGAAGAAGAAAAGCTATAGAGGTAGCATATGGAAGAAAACATGGGAGGATTGATTATTTCTTTGACATATCTTCTTGTAGAGTACCTTAAGTATGTATAGGTTTTAAACTACTAACTAATTTGCACACACATATTAACATAATAGGAATACGGTGACATAAACAAAGCAAATCTATAATTACCATCCATCTCCAGTGAAGCCAAGAAAACCATTTAGGCACCCTAGGCATTTGTGAAAATTTGTCTATGATATGATGGATATTGTCCAACTGTACTTGAACAGTCTGAGAGAAATCAGACAAATTAAAGCAACCCATTTCTGGGATCTGTTCACATCCCATATGTTCTTTTAACCGTAGATAGTCTATAGTCATAAGATTTTGGAGTGCTACAACTTGCACCCCTCCCAACTCCTGGTTGAGTTCCAACAGTACAGATCCGGTCAAATTCGTTGTCTCACTGTATGCACATGCCAGCCTAGACATCTCCCTCCTCATTCCAATGGCAAGTCCAGGAAACGGTGGGGTGGATGCAGCCACAACCGCAGTACAAATCATTCTTTTATTCACCCAAAATAAACACCTACTGCATATACTTAAATACAGGCATTAGACTAGGGTGGGAGATCACACATATGTATAAGAAATGAGCCCTGCCCTCTGGAGCAAAGAGCCTTGCTGGAGAACAGAGGCTGAGCTGTCCCCACTACTATTCTTTTTTTCCACACAGTCCTACACAGTATGTTTACCTGCCTAGTCAGTATGTGCTCTTTGTCCCTTGCCCTCACTTCCTCTATCTTGCTGTTGGGAGGACAAAACTCCACTTCAGAATGAGACAGATGGAGGTAACACACTGGACTGCCTAATTCTAGACCATTATGCAGGTGAGAAATAAACTTCTTTCTTGATTTTGTCACCATTTTTCAGATTTCTGTTTGTGAGAGCTAAACCTAATCCTAACCAATGACAGGAGAACACCATTGGGTGCCATATTTACAGATTAAATTCAAGATATAGAAGGTACTTCAGTACACACACCTTCTGTGGGTTTTAGAGGTCATATGACTATGGACTGACTTTAGTGTCATTACACAAGAACTCTTTCTTAATTTTATAGTGCAGATCAACCTCCACTTTCTCTCCTGGTGGCTGCAATATGCAAAACCCTTACCAGTCATCTTTCTAAAGCAGTTTAAGCTGCTGTAAAATACAATTCTAATACATACATAACACACATATAGAAATAAGTGGGCCTTAATGATGCTCAAGAATCCTATTACATATCTCTAGTCTGTTTATTCTTCCAGATGATCATTTCATACTTTCTCTTTTCTTCTTTCTCCTCAAACTTCTGATACATCTTCCCCATCCTCAGTTTCAGCTGAGCACCCTGCTTCCTTGTTTATTAGGAAAACAAGCAATCAGTAGAGAAGTTCTACAAGCTCCCACTACCGGGTCATCTACCCAGAGACCTGCATCTGTGCCTAGACACTCCACCTTCCTTCCTGTTAGGAAAGATGAGCTCTCTGTGCTTTTAAGGTCAACTACTCCCCTGCAACACTAGACCCATCTCATCGCCTTCTCATAGTGCTCCAGAAGATCCGCTCTCCCTCTCCTGCTTCACCAATTAATCAACTGTTTCTTCTTTAATGGATCCTTCCTATTAGCTAGAAGCAGGATTCTTTCTTTTATTTTAAAGAGAAAAACATTTTTCTTCACCACTGTTTTTCCTTCAAGCTCCCACTCCATTCTTCTCCTTCCTTTTATAGAAATAGTCCTCAAAATAGTCTGTATATTTGGTCTGTTTCATCTCCACCCATTTTTTCCACTGTTAAACCTAGTCAATCACAGTGCTCATCCTGACTCAGCAAAAGTGAGCACAGCTCTGAGAGCAGCGGTGCCTTCTCCTGCGGGATGACACTCCTCGTGTGGTTCTCAGGGATCCACACACTCCCGGTTCTCCTCCCGCCTCTCAGTCTCCTTTGGTTGTTCCTTTTCATCTCCCGAGCCTCCAAAGAAAAAGTATTGCAGGGCTCAGTCTTCAGATTTTCGTCTCAACATTGTCTCCTTTGATGATCTCAGCCAGCCTCATGACTTCAACTACCATTTTTATGCCTATAGTTCCCAAGTGTAAATCTTTAGCCTAGATGGTTCTCCTGAACCTCAGACTTTTACATATGTAAGTGCCTATTTTACACATTCACTCAGATGTCTAAAAAGATTCTGAAACTTTACATGTCCTATTTAAGTACCTGATGATCTCTAAACCTCTTCTTTCCATTGCCCTCCCCATTGCTCAGACAGAAGATCTTGATAATTCTTTCTCTCACATCCTACATCTGTCAGGAAATTCCATTTCTATCACCTTCAGAATACATTAAGAACTGACTACATCTAATACCTCTAGTGCGACCATCATGCTCTAAGCTCCCATCACTTCTCACTAGATTATTGTAATAGGTTGCCCTGTTTCTATCTTTACCAATCCTACAGTCTACTACAGACAAAATGTAGTCAAGCTCTATCACTTTGTCTTCAGAAACTTTCTCTGGTGCCCCTTCTCACTAAAACAGAAGTCAAAGTCCTTACAATGAACTGAGGCCCCATACGGCGCCTTGTACTTCTCTGATCTCATCACCTACTACTGCCCTTACTGTTCACCCAGCTCCAGCTACAAAGGCTTCTTCATTTTCACATGCTGGATACATCCCTGCTTCAGTGCCTTTGCAACTACTTCCACTGCTTAGTGACATCTGCATGGCTCACTACCTCATCTCCTTTTTAGTGAGGCTTTTGCCTCACTATCCACTGCCACCATTACTTCACTTACCCTTACATACATACACACATACCCCTAGGCTCATTTGTTACTTGTGTCTAATTTTTTATCTTCAGCAGTTATAATATGTCAAATTTATTGTGAATAGTTGCACTAACGTGCCCTAAAATAAATACGGTATATAATGCTGTGGAAATATGAGACCACTGATTTGTAATTCAGCTTAAATTCAAAGGACATGGTGCCTTAGATGACGCAGTATGACTCAGGGTAGGGAGAATAGGATGTGACATTTAAGTTGGGTAAGGTAAATCAACATGTCAGTGAGTCAAATTACTGGTGAAAACCATCTACAAGGCTGCTATACTGACCAAAATTTTATCCCCTCCCATTCTTTGTTAATTATAAAACAGGAGTTCAATAAACATAATCGATTATATCAATATTTTTCTTTTTTTTCAAACAATCTGCCAATAGAGGTTAATGTAATTTTCTCAGAGGAAAATTACAGAAATATTTCCATCATTTATGAATTTAAACACTAGTTAATACAAATAGTTAATAATATCCTATACAGTTTTTTTAACTATGATTAAATTCAAATAGAGAAAAATCAATAATATATCTATTGACATGACACAATTTTAATAAAAATAAAATACTTTTAAAACTTAGTACATAAAATAACTATATACTTATAAAATATTGAATTACCTTTGTTTCTTTGGAGCTCATTTTTCAAATCTTCAATAATAAATGTATTTTTTTCCATTTCTTTTGTATATTGTTCTACTTGCTCAGTGAGCATCTTAATTTGACCATCTCGTTCCTGTACACCCTATAAAATGATTGAATATTACACATTATCTCCTCATACACATTAACGTACATTTTAAAAGTAAAGAAAAAGGTAGGTTTTGGTTTCTTCAACAAGACTGTAGAATACATTTTTTGTGGGTCAAAACTATGCTGTTGAACTATTTTGTATATCTCATTTGCAGTATGCAACATTAGGTACACTAATGTCACTCTAATACTTAAAGATGGATATAATGACTAACACTCTGGCAAATGGGAATTTCAGAACTTTCTAATATTTATGACTTCTTATGGCTTCTTTTACTTTTTCCTCATCATCTGTCCATTTCATCTTTTTACCATTTTATGTTTGTGTTTTGCCCTGTGCTTTCTCTGGTACTAACTTAGTTTTCACCCCTGCGATACTTCATTAAAAATACCGACACAATCGTTCTTATCCTGCAAATACTTCCCAAATTCCCTTCTTTTTTTTGGACTATAACTACAGAGCACAGATGAGGAAAATGTAACTTTTTCCCATGTGAATATTTTGGTACTAAAAATAAAACTTCTATAGAGTGCTGTCACATTAAAACCACATTTTTAGCTTATTTCACATTGCATAGAATATTTCAGCACTAAAATACAGTAAACTTAACTACAGAGTATTGATATTTTAAAATTTGTAACAGTGTTTAATAGTTTCTGACTATAATTCCTAATAAAAAAATGTGTGTATTATAAAAAAACACAAAATAATTCTATTCCTAACTCTAAACATAACTCTAAATTTACTTCTAATTTTTTCTTGGGACTAGATGATGTAAAAAACTTCAAGACTTTATTATATACCTAGTGTCTCTAATTTAGGCAGGTGATAAAAAGTAAGACACAGTTTGGAATTTCACTGCCAGCTTTTTGATACAACTGGCTGATAAACCAAACTTTGAGAAGGTTTTACCTGTTGTAGAGCCATAATATTACTTTTATCAGCATCAAGCTGGGCATTTTTCAGTTTCTCCCTCAGGTTATATAACATTTGCTGATATTCAATAATTTCATCATCTTTAGAAGACAAAATTAACTGGAAATAAACAAAATACGATGTTTACATAAGAGGAAAAATTAATAAATCATTCCTCACTTATAATGAATATTCTAATATCCACCATTAACAGATGTCAAGAAAATACAGGAAATAAAATTCTTTGAAGTGAGACTAGTATCAGCACCTATTGGCAGAGTCATTGTTCCTTTTGGGTGTACAACCTGAAGTTCAAGTAAAAATGATTATAAAAATAGTACAGATAGTTTTTGCTTTCTTAGGAACTTAATCTTTAAGCAATCTCAATTATAATATCTCTAAGCAACTACAAGATGTTTTATACAACTAATCTTTATGAAGAAAACACTGAAATGCCACCAAGAGATATCTTGTGTTCTTTGCAAGAAAGACCAAACATCAAATCAATCTATAATTCAATTTATAAAATAAAATAATTTATTTCAGCACTAAAATACAGTAAACTTAACTAGAGTATTGATATTTTTAAATTTTTAAGTGTTTAATAGTTTCTGACTATAATTCCTAATCAAAAAATGTGTGTAATGATTTTTAAGACTTATTTCTAAAATTCATATTTTAAAAAAGATGTTTATAAACAAGAGTCTAAAACAGAAAAATGAGAATAGCTTTTTCAAATATTTAGACATAACACCCAAAACAAGTGTACATGGTTAGAAAATAGATCAAGCAATATAAAAGACAGTCCAAAAATAAATTCAATCTCAACAAGAGTTTTGTATGTGTTCACAATGGATCTATATATCGGCAGGAGAAAGATGAAATATTCAATAAATGATGCTGGGAGTAGCTCTGCTGTATCCCTGTTGCTGATGGATATAGCTCTGTTACAGCTATATTGCACTCTTCACACAAAAATGAATTACATATACTTTAAAGATTTATGTAAAAACGAAACTAGAAAATACTGGAAGAAAATATCAGAAAAAAATTCATACTCAGAAGCCTTTCTAATTATGGTACAAAGGCCAAAAGCCATAAAAAAGTCAAGAAATTTGACTATGTAATACAAAAGTACTTCATAGCAAAAAATACTAAAAAACAGACAAGTGACGAACTAATGTATTTACAATATATACCACAATTACACTTGTAGCAATTTCTACAGATTTGAAAAATAACAAATATAGAAGGATAGTCATTAAAACATTGTTTTTAACAGCAAAAATCAGAACCCTCCACATTTCATAACAGGGAATCAAGTAAAGTATAAAAGAAATACATATGCTATCATCTCAACCTGCAAATTTAAATATGGTAAAAACACCTATTTTTTCCAGAAGTGAAAACTTCTGGTTTATTGGTCAAACTTGGTCTGCTGCTTGTTTTCGTAAAGTTTTATGGGAAAATAGACATGCTCATTCATTTATATATTATCCTTTGCTGCTTTTGTGTTTTTTTATTTTTTCATTATAATATCAGAGTTGACCAGTTATGCCAGAGACTGGATGATCTAAAATACTCTCTGACCTTTTCTAGAAAGTTTACTGACCCTTGACTGACTCTATAAGCCTCATTCCCATTGCTACTGCTTTTGCTTAACATAAACGTTTTCTGAGCTTTCTGGATGATATCCAACTCCAAACAGCCAACAAGATTTATGTGAATCTTGTTAGAAACAGTAACTGTAGAAGTGACAGCTTTTTAAGATCAGATTTATTTATTCAGAGGCTTTTCAGACTTTTTAAAAAACACACAATCATCATAATCCCAGCTTCTCACAGGAAGGCTGGGGAATTTGGCTGCAGTTGGAGAGTGGTGAGGAGGAAGAAAGGTATGTTTTGAAAAGACCTCTCAGGTGACTGTGAAAGATCCCTTTCCTTTTTCCCATTCCCACCAAATAATAACACTTTGATCTGACATGGAAGAGAGTTAGGAAAACTAACATTAAACCTGGAACTAAATAACTAATGTATGCAAAGTAACTATGAGCTGTGTGAAAAAATATAAATTTTATGTAGAATTACCTATTTTAGGTGCCAAAATTTTGACTTAGACTTAATCAAAAAGTTGAAAGTATAACTCATTGATGAAGATGAGTGCATTCAATAACAAACTTAGAAAGAACAGTTCTTAGAGATTTTCTAGCTAGGACATTGAATACACTTTTAAAAATCCCTAATAAAATGTCGTTAACTAGTAAAAGGCCTTTAAAGAAAACTAATATTAAGGTATTGAAATCTAAAATACAAATGAAAAAGCTATTATATCAGTTGAAAAAAATCACCTTCCACTCATCTACTTTTGCATTGACAGCTATCATGACTGGATCATCTTCTTCGTTTTTTGCTTTCAGAAGATCTGTAAGCTCCTGCACCTAAAAGGCAATCATTATTTTAAGAACTGTTGTACAATTTACACATTTGTTATATATGCATATTTACACATACATATTATACATATGCATTTATATGTTCACACCACAAATGCATGTTCATTATTGGAGCAGTTCTGTAGATAGAGGTGACATTTACAGGTTTCTGAATCTTTACAGTTGTATAATTATTTTTCATTCCTAGAAAATTTTATTTTTAAGTATTACTTTATTTTTCAAACAAATTTAATCCCATGTAAATAGTGAACATTGTGTTGATTTCTATGCTATTTGTAATATATTTATTTTAAGGCATAAAATTAAACTTTATAGTCCACAGGACTTCCACAAGTCATAAATAGAAAATCCCCATAACTATTAGCTTTGGAAGACTGTTGTATACACAATCCTTCAGGTACTGCCTACATACTATAAATGACGAGGATTACAAGGTATGTATAAGGAGATTAGAGAAACACATATGGACAAATATAGTACATGGCAACATACTACAGTATAAAATGATTTACTACAGTATAAGACAAAAATTCATATCCTACAAAGTACTTTCTAGTTTCAAATAAACAGTAATGATACAATATGAAGTCTATACAAATAAGTTAGTCTAACAGGAATTCTTACTTGAAGCTGATAATGATCATTTTCTTTCTTTAATTGGTCCATTATATTATCTGTCTGATGCACAATAGCTTTCATCCTATTATATTCATCAGTCATCTTCTCCATTTCCTGTACAGACTCTTCTAGATTTTTTCTCATTTCTTGATTCTGAACTTCAATTTTCTCATTAGCTTCTGTTAAAGTCTAAGAAAATTAAAGAAATGTGGTTAAAAAACAATTTAAGAAACTTCAATTTAAACTAAATGAAATTAAATGGAGTCATAAAAGTCTGCGGAAGAAAAGAAAATTCTTATAGATCTTTAGTTGCAATTGTTATTGACCAATTAAATCAAATTAAGCATCAAGAAAATTGTACATACAAAGCTTAGTTCTTAAACAATGTCTAAGATCAGCATATAAAAATAATGAATTTGCAAGATATTTGCAACTTCAAAGATGCAGCTTATGTTGTTACAAGTACATAGTTGTAGATTTATATTAAAGAATTTAAATGTAGGTTAAATGCTAGGTTTATATTATAATAAAATTAAAGATTTATAAGAATCATTGCCTTGAACTGACTTCCATCCATTTTACCTGTATTTCATCCAGATATTGAACAAGTTCATAGTTTTTTTTAGACAACTGTGATCGGTAGTCACTATCTTCTCCTCTTCTTGATAAAAGTGTTTCTTTTTGGGAATCTATCTGTTTCTGATAGTCAATAATATCCTGACGAAGCTGTTCATTCTGAAGGTAGACCGAACAATAGACTATTAAGAAACTATCCAACAAAATTTTATCTTCTCAACAGTAATCTTAAGATATATTTTTTTCCCCACATCTTTGCCACCTTTAAAACCTCACCTTTTTCTTCAGACGTTTGTTCTACAGAAAAGGACAGGAAAAGGTCATTAGAAATGAGAAAGCCAACATATAATGAAAAATAAGAATTAGAAATTAAAGAAAACAAAAAAGGTAAGTTTTAGAAGAATAAGATATTAAATTGGACAGTCAAAGAAAGCAGAAATATTAGTGATCAACCAAAACAAATAACATTTTGATTATGTTAAAAAGATAAGAACTCCTATAAAGATGTACAATGTACACACATTATTTGGCTCAGAAGAACCAAATAATCAGAACTTGTAAGACTTCATGAGAAACAGAAATTTTTAAAGGATGTGGGATAAAGTAAGAACAGTAAGACAGAAATTGAGTCATATATTCAATTAGCAAAGTAGCGAAGAATGGCTTATACAAAAAGCAAGATTTACCCATATAGACCTGAGACATGAATGTAGTACTTAACAGCCTTTTAATTTTATTAATGTTTTCTATTTTACCTATTAATTTGTTTTCAATTTCCCTGAGACAAATGCACATCATAAAATTAGCCAGTTTGAAAATATCAGTTACTTAAAAGATTCCAGTTCTGGTAACAGTATAAATTTATAGAAACTTTTTTAACAAGTATCTTTGTATAACCAGCACAACTACTAAAATACTTTACCAACCTCTCTTCTTAATTTGCTGTTTTCATTTTCTGCCTCCTCATTTCGAAGAGCCAACTAAAATGGCAAAAATAAATAAAATAAAATTCAGCAGTAATTAAATATAAAACCAGGTTTTCAGCTTATCAATTTAAATTTTAAATTCTCTCCAATAAAGTAGACAATGTTTAACTACTAAGGACTTCATGTTGAACCAGGATATGAATTCATAAGCCAAAATTTTTAAAAACTAACCAAGGATTAGGAAGGATAAAACAGGTCGATCTTAAAAGATTAACATACCCCCCCAAACTCTAATGAAAGGATACAGAAACAAAAACAACAAACAAATTAATTACCCCTCTTGTCCCCATAAAGGGTAGTTTTCAGTCCAAGATCTTTATTACCTTGCAGTTCTTCTATGTCAGGGCTAGAATTCTCTTTCCTTTCAGCATTAAGTTACTTAGAAACATAATGGTTAAAAGGAAACAATCTGAAATCAGACTGGACTAGGTCTATGTCCCTTGCCTACTCATTTCTAGTGAAGTGTGAAAGTCATTTAACATCTCTTAAATCCAATTTTCTCATCTCATACGTTGATGTAAAAATTAAGTACAATATATATAAAGTCCCTAGCACAATGTTCAGTAATAGCATAAATTATGAAGTGTTCATTCTCTTCTCTGTATACAAATGATTTCATTTGTGACTCTTTTCTTTTGTTTCCCCAAACAGACAAATATTATAACAATTATCATGGATATTTTCACCTACTGTTTAAACTTTACCCCTCTTAGGGCCTTTCACTTTTCTGCTTTTTACTCTTATTCAAGAAGATAAAATCTCAACAGTGTACATCTATAATATATTTAAAAGTCTACAGTAATTATCCAAATGCAGTATGTGATTCTTGATGGAACCTTGGATATTGGGTGGGGGGGAATTGAAGGATATTATTAGGCCAATAGAGGAAATATGATTATGTACTAGATATTAGATGACAATACTGAATCAATTGATATTAATTTCCTGAATATGATAATTATACACTGGTTATCTTGGAGAAGAACCCTCTTTTTAGGGGAGACATGCAGAAATATTTCAGTGCAAAGTATCATGATATCTGCAATTAACTCTCAAATGACTTAGCAAACAGAGAGAAGAACATATTTGTGTGTACAAACATATTGGTGGAAAGATACAGGAAATGAGGCAAAATGTTGACAATTGGTGAATATATGAAGAGTATATGTATGTGTGTTTTTCTTACAATCTTTATGAAGATATGAATATTTTTAAAATAAAAAAGTTAAAGTTCATAATAAAATGTAAAGTACTCTACAAAGTTTAGACATTTATCTCCTACCATCATCATCAACACTGTCTCAGAGTTAGGAAATAGTCCCATCATGTTTTGAATTGGAAAATTTTAACAACAGAGATGTCCAGAACTTAATTCTGAAGAATTTAACACTACTGATATTCTTTTCCCTTTGTTTCTGAAATATCCTTCTTGATATTTGACCCTTTCTGTGCTGTTCCTTGAAGCACCTCTTCCTATTTCATTAGACATTTCTCAGAGATGGGCCTTACCATCACTTCCATGGCTTCAAGATCTATTGTTGATAACCCACAAATCCTCACTATCCACCAGTGTCAACTAATGAATTCCATATCCACAGATATCCTTTTTGGATATGGCCACAAGAACCTCAAACTCAACATGTACAAAACTGTTACACCTCTTGTGTACCAGAATTCTTAGTGAACAGCACTATCTACTTTTTTTTAGTGGCCCATCCAGAAGATTAGGTGGACTTGCCAATCTTCCCTCTCTGACAACCAATCATTCACTACATCCAATTACATCCACATGTCTAAACATGCCTCTGTCCCTTAATCCCCTCAGTCATTACTTCAGCCTATCATAAAGACTTGCCTCAATAATACAAATGTCCCTTTGCTATTCTTGGCTCCCTTCTATCCATTCTCTACAGAGCAGAGTAAACTTTAAAAATACAGATCTGATCATAATTATTCCTGTGTTCCAAATTCTTCATGGCGTCCTTTAGGAAAAGGGCCAAATTCCTCAGGAACTGACCTTCATTTCTCTCTCCAGAGTATCATGAATACTAAAACTGGTAAGTCAGAAAAGCACACTGGCTTTGAGCACAGACTCTGGAGTAAGTGTGGATTTGAATCATGGTTTTATCACCTATGAATTGTGCAACCTTGGGCAATCACTTACCCTTTCTGTGTCTCAGTTTCTTCATCTGTAGCATGGGGGAATGTCACCTATCTCATATGATAAGCATCAAATAAGGAATAATGAATTAATGCAAATTAAGTATCTGGTATATAGTAAGGACTCAACATTACCTAATTTTACCTATATTTCAGCCAAAATGAGTAACTGCAGTTCCCTGAATTCACTATACTCTTACATCTGGGTCTTAGCCAATGCCGTATCTTCTATTCGGGAATGCCTCTTCCTTAAATGCCATATACATCCTGTGCCCCTTGCCAGGCTAACTCTTACTTTAGGTTTCAGTTTCTAGATCACTTTCCGAACCTCAAGATTGACTTAGGTATCCTCCTCCAGAGTATCCCAGAGCATTCTTACATCCTTATGTATGTCCAGAGTATTATATTATCCCTGTGTTACATTTATTGATGGTGAATATCATTGAGAAGCAGAATATCATTGCTCACTGCATTCCTAGTACCTAATAGTCTCTGGCATACTGTAATAACTCACTAAAACTGAGTAACTGGTTAAGAGCAAAGAAGAAATTGACAAAGTAACTCCTACCCATATTCCATCTTGATTTTATTTCCACCTAGCAGCTGAAAAGGTACATAGGCCATATAGTCAAGTTGTCTGTGTATATGCCCATGAATTGAGATAGTACTCTGAGATACGACTAGCCAGGGTAGTCCTTATTAACTAAGGTTGTATGATATGAATGATAAGAAGTTGACTAACATATGGGCTACCAGAATAACAACAGTCCACAAAACCACACAGACATCCAACTAACAAGCAATTCTATTACTTCACACCTGTTTGGATTATTTATGATTACTAAGAAATCCTTAGGCCTATTACATTTCACTGAGTCAACTAAACAGATAATTCTCTAAGAGCTTATTTCTATTCTTTAGGTGGCATCAGTCCACACTTTTATTATCAGAGAAGTTGTGAAGCTAGCTCACTTTTACATGACTCTTCTAAATTACAAAGATAGACATAGCAAGAACACGATGCTTTTCCTTACAAACCAAATTTTGACAGATTCTCTTTCAATAGCATATCACCTTATAATCATTGTTTACTTAAAATTTATAACCCTCTATTTCCAAGAGAACAATGGACAAAAGAGGATTATTAAGATGTACTGCAACACTGGACTTTCAAAGGAAAAAAGATAGAAAAAGCTTCTTGGGACCCGGGATGGGACAGTCACATGAGGATATTCTGTACTAAGCTTACTGACAGCTGAAGCAAGATAGAAGCGTTATTTTCTGACAGGAAATACAGATTTACCTGCAAAAAAAATTTTTTTTTCCTCTAACTAAAGTGAACGTTGCATAAATTTTATAAATAACAGGGAACATGAGAGGTAATAAACTATGCTTGTATATAAGATGGAATGTCATGACTTAAACTATGCATTCATTGATTTACAAATGCTGGGATTAACTTTTTAAGAACCTATATATTACATAAAGTGAGGGACACTTGAAAACAAGTAATCTGATCATTATTGAACAACAGTAAAAGATTAATTTCCAAGCTTCTACAATAAATTAGTAAAATAGGTATCTTTTTCTCCAAAATAAGTTATGGCAAATAAGGAAATTATTTATTTTTAAATGCCTATTAATTTCTTCATACTATTATTCCAGACCGAATCATCAACTTTGAGTGAACAATTCTAACGTCCTGAGAAAAATGCACCTCCAAATATAAAATACTACTTGCCAAGCCATATTTACTTGAAGTACCTGATCCATTTTATTTTAAACATAAAATGACAACATGAACAGTGATGGAAAACTTAGATCACATTACACATCAATTTTCACATAAAATACGTAAATATAAAAATTAGTATTATTGCCAGTAATTATAAAAAGCATAATCAGGTATTATTTTTAGGTAACGTGAACAGTTAATGTTCACTGGAAAAGTGCCTTACTTGTTCATTAACTTTCTTCTCTTTCTCCAATTCCTTTTCCATGTCTTCTAATTCTTTATCCTTCTGTTCCAACTGCTTTTCAAGTTGGCGAATTTCATCACGTAAAAACCGAGTGTCACGTCCACCTGCAGACTGCTGTGCCATCTTAAAAGAATAAACCAAAAGTATACATTAATCCCATTAGAATTGGAGATTCAAAGGAATCAATAAGAAATTGACTTTAAATTTATATTATAATCAGCATCAGATGTTTAAAATCATTAGCTTAAGGATCTGTTTTTAAAACTTAGGTTATTTAAGCTTTAGTTAGCAGGCTGACAACCTCTTAAGGTTTTCCTGAGGCTCCCAGAGTGATGAACTGACCATCAATCACTCAGGCTGTGTTATAGCCACTGAACTACAGGCACCAGGCTAAGAACACAGGTGATGAACTATCTAGGTTAATGGAAATGTTCTTTGTAGTGTTCAGTATGGTAGCCATGATTTATATGTGGCTAAAGAGAACTTGATATGCAGCTGGTGCAACTAAATAATGGAATTTTTAATTTTAATTGTAATGAATTTAAAAGTAAACAGGCACAGGTGTTTAGTGCTACCATACTGGACAGCCCAGACTAAGATTATCATTAAAATCCTGTGGCAGACTAATCCATTTTACTTCATATACCTGTTATTTGTAGTCATGGTCAGAAACATCAAAACTGTTGGTCATCTAACCTGCCTCACACTCACCTCTTCCCTCTACATTTCTTTTACTCCTGTACATTAACTAAAATTCTTCACTTTCCCTTCTTCTCAAAGCTTTCCACTGTGCTCTCAAAAATCCTCTTCCATGGAAAAATTGTTATATCCTCAGCCCTTTTGCTGAATCATCCTCTCCATCTCCTTGCCTTAGCTGCAATTTGGCTCCTTTTGTCTACTAATAACTTTGGAATCCTTTCAATTGGGAGATGTTTGTTCTTTTGCATTCCACAGACAACAGAAGGTACTGATTTACCACAACCTGCAATTTCGAGGCTATCATTCCTTCACTACCCTGCAAAAATTCCAGCTGCTGTGAATCTCACATGATATTCACATCAGATCGATCCCTGCCTACTCCTGATAGCACAAACTACCAACTTTCCAGTCATTACCTCTCAAAATTAATTGAATTCACTAAAACCTCCTACAGTCATGCCCACACCAGGCAGGTCCTTGTTCCAGCAGAAACATAATCTCAATTATTTCTGGAATATCAACATTCTAACCCCACAGGGCATTCTGATCCCTTACTCCTCTCTAATCTCTCCCTACCTCTCCAATCTTGATTTTCTTGCCTATTTGGCAAAGATTTCATAATCATCTATACACTACTTTCTTACCAATATCTCCAACTCCCTGGCTAACAGAATCGATCCAACTTCATAATTCATTTAGTAAATACTTATTGATAGTAGTAAAGAATCACAGTAGTAGTAAAGAATACACAGTAAAGAATCAAAAATAACATCTAAGTTCATAGAATTAATGAAATAATCAGGATTTGAACTAAACTTGTCTGATTCCAGATCTCCTAATTCCTAGCTCATTTCCCAAGATATTTGAAGTTTTACCTGACTTCTTAAAATTTGACCATACATCTACCAACTCCTATTTTTAGATGACCTTCTCTACAACCTCTCAATTTCCAGTCACTAAACCTACAAACAAAAGCTCTGTACATATCCCTTATTCCTCCCTTCCTATTACAAAGGAAGGTCCTTCCACCTTCCAAAGGCTAATCCACTTGTATTAGTTTGCTTCCCACATTCTCAAGAATCTCAATGTATTCAGTTCCTTAACACTACATTCATACTCTGGCTCTTGGCATGATCAAAAGCTACTTGTTCTTACTTGTTTTACCACACCCTTCTGTCACTATTCCTCAAGTTTCCGCATGCCTCCACTCAGTCTCAGTTACTAGTGTTCCTTCTGTCTACTTCTCTAGACTGTAAGCTCCATGAGATTATTGAATGTTTTTATTTTGTTAACAATTGGATGCTCAATCCTTAGAATTTAAGGTATGTGAAGGCATGTAATACATGCTGCACAAATAATTATGAGCACAGTATCATTCTTGTGACTTCTCTAGCCAATAATAGAATTTTAAAGTATTAATTCAAAATCATACAAGTAACAATATATCCTAAGGAATACAAAAGAACATACCTCTAGTTCATTTTCCAGTTTCATTACTTTAGTTTTTAATTGGTTTTCTATTAAAAAGAAAAGATAAATGTTTCAATTGCCCAGACTTGTCTCAAAACAAGCTTTTACATAAACATCAACAAGATAATAAAATTATTCTTTTCATAGATCCCATCATGATTATAGTAATATGGCAACATAAGAGAAAATAACTATTTTATACTTGGGATGTGGAAATAGGAGTTCTAGAAATATCTTCAAAATAAATTGAGTCTACACATTTTAGAGATAAACCTAATTTTCTATGTCTTAATGAATAAATGGAATACACTATTAAACATCACAATAGACTTCTTTTTCCCAAGGTACCCACCAAATTTTGCTTGCTCTTCTCCAGCCTTTTCGACTAAAGCTAGCTCTACCTCTTGAGCTTTCATCTAAACAACTAAAAAAAGGGTTATATCAATATGCCTTTACACTAGAAGGTAAGCAAAGAAAATAAGTATTTTTTTCATTTGTTATCCCAATACTTACCGACTGCAAAGCCTGGCACACATGAAGACTTCTAGTAAATATTTGTTGAATTAACAGACAATTTTCTTAAGGATATAATTTCTAGATTCCTAACAGTTTGAAACATCTTTGATTCATCTTTATGTCTCAAATCTTATCTTTAGTATTGTAACTTTTCCACTTTTTTCTCTTCTAATTGTCAGTGTTATAGTCTATAATTTTATGTCTAACCTCCTTCATACCATTGTATTGCAATAGCTTCAAGTCCCTTCAATTTGTCCTATTAACACACCTAGTTTTATCTACTTAAGGTATATTTTTGTTATATATCAACTATCGCTCAGAAAACTTCAGTGGCTCCTTATTGCTGACACCCTGAGATACACCTTTAAAGCCCTTGAAAGGCTATTCCAAATTATACCCAACTTCTGTTTTCTCCACAATCTGCTATAAACTTTATGCACCTGTCTCCTCAAAAGCAAACAGTAAGCATATTTTCTATTCCCAGTTTTCATTTATGATAACCTCCAGCTCTACAATCTCCTTAACATTTTACCACTGCCTTCTACTTACCTAGAACTACTTATCAGTCTTTGCCCTTTATTAGGTCTTCTCACACCTAACCTCTTACCTTTCTAACAAATCTATACAGTTAGTCATCTGTATTTTTCATTTCAACCTCAAGATTACCATTAACATAACTAACATAGGACCTCTTTATGTTATTTTTAAACATACCTATTCTGTTTCCCCTATACATTCTTTAAAGAACTTTAGAGCAGAAACTAGCAATGTTCTGCACACTACAACTCATGATCCATGTGTGAAGATATCTTATTTTTGAGAGGTGCCTAAGACATTACAGAGTTCTTTAATGAAATTTCCTCTAATAGTCAAAGCTATTGTTAAAACCTACTGCATACAAACCTTCATTAGTGACTAATTCTGAAAACGTGTATCACATTTTCTTGACTTTCATTTTTTAGCTCATTTACTTCCACCTAAGTAAACAGAAAAGCAACCATTTTACACTTTATAAATAACACCTAAACAAAATATAAAAACTTACAGTTGTAAGAGTCAGTGATTTCAGGGACAAGATTAATCATAGTTGTATGTATATATCTATGCATTATTTATTAAGTACCTTAGATAAAGAAATCAATAAATTATCTGCCAATTCTTCTTGACGAGGAAGGTCATCTGGGTCAACTTTCATGATGTCTTTCCAGTTTATATTAGGGGCCATCTTGAATAATTTCACTGTGCTTTACCTTCTGTAACAAAACAGGCAGGTATTAGCATTTTCAAGGTAAAAACATTACTGCTTTTACAGCAATCTGCAGTTTTTACATATTACATCTATGGTGTTAGCGAAGAGCTAAGGCTCCTTAACCGCATAGCAGGTAAGTGGGCAAAATAATCCTCATCAAAATTACAGCAATTAGCACAAACCATCAGATATTGTACTGGCTAAATAAACAATGACGATTTCCTTTCTAAAACTAATTTAGGTCAGAACTAAGCTTGAGTCCCCTCCTCCACGTCCCCATACCGACGCGTGCGAACATCTAAGGGTGCCAAACCCGGGGATCCTTGGAAGGCTGAAAATGATCCCTGATTCGGAGAAACTGGAACTAAGGGTAAAATTAAAAACTACGGTAATTACCGATTGAAATGAGTGCAGTTGGGCCGAGGAAATCACAGGTGAAGCTAGAAGAAGGCAAAAGGACTGCAGACCAAAGACTAAGGGGTCGGGAAACTGGACTGTTGCACCGGACCCTGAGGCTTAAGGAACCTGCATGGGAAGGAACTCGCTGCTCCCGCTCACCAAAATCCACCTACCTACACCAAGTCTGGCAACCAGCAGCGGTGTCTCATTTACTGCAACCCCCGAGCCTGGCCCCGCCGCCCAGCCTGACCGCTCCCTAGCGCGGTGACAGCAAAACCCTAGATCCCGCCACCTGGTCCAGAGTAAATGATAGCGCCCCACAGCTGCTAGGCGACCCCATTTCCCAACCGGCCAAGGCAGGGAAAAGGCCCCGGTTGCAAGTTGAGCCTACATTTCACGACGGTGGATAATGCTTTACGTTTAGATTCCCCTGTGGCAAAGACTGTAGAAGGCGCGGGATGAGGACTCCAAATTCCAGAGTGCACTTCTCCCTGGCAGCTTGTGCATGCTGGGAGCTGAAGTCTCTGGGAAGAAGAGGGAGGCCGTCCCGGCGTGCAGTGCGGCGGGCTGCGCCTGTACAGGGGCGCTGGGGGAAGGAGCTGGAGGCGGGAGGCGCAGGGCTCAGGCGCGTCTCCGCTGGTGACCTGAGTACAGTAGAGGATGACTGCGACTCCCAAGGCGCCGCCCGCCAGACCGCTGTTCCTGAGGTTTCCCTAAGCCATCTCCTAGGGAACAACTCCCAGGTGAGGTAGGACTGCTGGTCAGCGGCGGGGGTGGAGTTGAGGGGAGCGGTCCCGGCTACGAGAAGCTCGGACTGTGTGGACGGAAGGACTCGTTCCCGGTGTAGAGGTGGGAAAAGCCCGTCTTCTCCTTAGACGTTTGCAAGTGGTACTCCAGGGGGTCCCCTCTGTAAGCGGGGGGAAAAAAAGTTTTAGCCTTTTTTTGCTGTCAGAATCCACTCCATAAGTGGAGTGGGGGCCGCGCAGCCAAGATCGTGGTTTGGGGTAAATGAAGCATTGAGTAGAGGGCATCTCGTTCTCCGATACCGCCTGCCTTTCTTGTAGCACCATTGTCTTTGCGAACTGGAGGACTTTAAGGTTGAGGAGCTAGGATAGAGCGAAGGCTCTAGAGAGAAGAGTTTAGAATTTGTCCCAGCTAACTGCTGGGAGTGGAGAGAGACTAAGGGGCCTCAATTGTCACCAGTCCTATGCTGTAACTTGCTTGGTTACTAAGTGTGCCCTTACATGAAAGTGCCTGCTCAGGTGTTTGCAGCTCTTCTTGTGCAAGTGTTGCTCATCCCTCTGTTTTCAGCCGTTCTGGAGTATAATATGCCACTAGGTAACTTCCTTAAGATGTAGATTTGAAATCTAAATGACATTTTCCACTGGTTGGACAAGCCCCTCTCATCTTTACCTTTTTTTTTTAAAGCACTTAAAAAATATAGTTGACAGTAGACATTCCTTTGAAAATAAAAAAAAATAGTGGATAACTCCAGAACACGTGTTTGGGTAAAACAAGAAATAGCTCAGTAGAAAATAAAAACAGTACTGATTTTGTGAGGAGTATTTTAAAGACATTCATCAGATTTGAAACTATGGTAATTTTTTTAATACTTTACTGAGAGATTACATCCAAGTATCGTTCATTATTATTTTTTACCATGCTATACGTTACATCCCCAGGACTAGTCTTGTCTTTCTCTGACTTACTTTACTTACCATAATCCCCTCAAGGCCCATCCCTGTTGTTGCAAATGGCACAATTTCATTCTTTTTTAAGGCTGAATAATATTTCTTTGTGTATATACACACATTTTCTTTATACATTCATCTGTTGACAGATACTGAGGCTATTTCCATGTCTTGTCTGTTATAAATAATTCTGCAGTAAATATGGGGTACAGATATCTCAAGGTAGTGATTTCATTTCTTTCAGATTATGACCAGAAGTGGAATTGCTGGGTAATGTGGTAGTTATGATTTTAATTTTTTGAGAAATCTCCATACTGTTTTCCAGAGTGGCTGCACCAGTCAGTGCCTGAGGGGTACCTTTTCTCCACGTCCTTACCAACACTTGTTATTTCTTGTCTTTTTGATAATAGCCGTTCTGACAGGTATGAGGTAAATATGTCATTATGGTTTGATTTGCATTTCCCTGTGATTAGTGACTTTGAGCATCTTTTCAGGTGCATGTTAGCCATCTGTATGTCTTTTGAAAAATGTTCAGATCCTTGGCTCATTTTTAAATTAGATTGTTTTTTGTTACTGAGTTGTGTGAGTACTTTATATATTTTGGGTAATAACCCCTTGTCAGAAAGATGATTTGCAAATACATTCTCCCATTCTGTAGGTTGCTTTTTCATTTTGTTGGTGGTTTTCTTTGCTGTGTGAAGCTTTTTAGTTTGTTGTAGTCCCACTGGTTTATTTTTGTTTTTGTAGCCTTTGCTTTTGGTTTCAAACCCAAAAAATCATTGTCAAGGAGCTAACCCCTGTATTTACTTGTAGGAGTTCATGTTTTCAAGTTTTATGTTCAGGCTTTAATCCATTTTGAGTAAATTTTTATGAGTACTGTAAGATAAAGTCCTAGTTTCATTGTTTTGCATGTGGCTCTCCAGTTTTCCATTGATCAGAAAGACTAGCCTTTCTTCATAATGTATTCTGGTCTTTTATTTCCAGGCTTTCTATTCTGTTCTACCTGTGTGTGTGTGTGTGTGTGTGTGTGTGATGCGTGTGTGATGCCAATACCATATTCTGTTCTACCCGTGTGTGTGTGTGTGATGCGTGTGTGATGCCAATACCATATTCTGTTCTACCCGTGTGTGTGTGTGTGTGTGTGTGTGATGCTCATATTCTGTTCTACCCGTGTGTGTGTGTGTGTGATGCCAACACCATATTCTGTTCTACCCGTGTGTGTGTGTGTGTGTGTGTGTGATGCCAATACCATACTGTTTTGATTACTACACTGTCATTATCCCATTAAATCTTCGTAATAATCCATTGTAAAAGGTGCTTATATTGTCCTCATTTTCCAACGAAGTTAAGAAATTGGGGATTGGAGTGGGTTTATGCTGTGCTCAAACTTAAATGGTGTAATTGAACAGAGATCTTTCTGGCTGGAAGACATTTTCTTAACAGTTATGCTGTCTTCTAGGCATGCTGGGAACCCTATTTGTAAAGTGCTTCTTCAGTCTTGCTATCTATAGTAAATATATTCTTATTATGTAACTTTGTTTACTCAATAATTTGAATTACATATTCCTTATTTAGCACGGGAAGGTAGGGATAAAATCTAATAAATCTTGAGCACATATAATGTCATATACTATGTTTAAAACTGCGTATTTATTTTCATAGTAGGAACCTGTTACAGCACCTTGTTTTTCCATTCTTTATAACTATTATTTTCCATTTATTCATTTACTAGTTTTGTTTGGTCACTATTGGCCTTTTCTACACTTGCTCCCCTCACATTTATATTCCCAGCAACTCAGGTTACCTGGTCAAATGGTAAATTTTATTCTCATTTTTCTGAAGTGAAAACAGGTTCAGAGAAACCAAGTAATTTCCTAATAGTTAATGAAGGTAAGATTGTAACCCAAAGTCATGACTAAATGCAAAATCTTGCTTAAATTTCATTCTTTTGCTCATTCTAATATTTTTGAGCTTGTATATCACGCTGCACACTGGAGATAAGCAGGATACAAGTTATCTATGGTATAAGTCCTAATGTACTGTAGTGTATTTGTAGCTAACTGTGAATAAAATTTAGCTCAAGTTCAGTCACTCACTATATAATTTTGCAGAAAATTGCTTAAACTTGCCATTATTTTTTCATCAAATTTTCTGCATGAGTCAATTTTTACCAAGAGAAAGGATTTATGTGACAATTTTATAAATGGTCTCACTACTGGAACACTTGTCTGGACTTGCATTCTTTCTTCTCTGTGGTTTTATGAGCAGTTTTATCTGACTAAAATTACTTCACAGGAAAGTCTTGACCTTTATAATTGCTTCATCTGTTCTCTGTACCAGTCAACGTATATTCCATTCACTTTTTTGCTGCCTTATCGAGAAAATGAATGATAACCTACTTCTTAAGCACCTAATGCAAAACATGGCCATGAGAAATTTAAAATCCACTATTTGTAGTAAATGTTCCATTTTGCTGTGTTCTCAGGGAGAGAAATCAGTGTGCAGCAAGCCACCACTTGTCTTCTGTGGACATGAAAAGACTGGAAAGATGAGTTGTCCTTGGGAATGCAGACTTTGCAGATGCTGCAGGCCAAAGTTTTACAAACTTTAATAAAGTATATTAGGTTGTTTTTATTAAAATAGTTAAAATCATGAAATTATTGAACTGAGAGGACTTAACTTTCCAAGCTAAATATCCCAGATCCATGTAGTTCTTCTACAGGTTAATTTTTCCACAATTGTACTGTTGGATTATTAGAAAAAGTGGGCACTCAGTACAATTCTGTTGAGGAATTATATTAAGTTCTGGATCTCTGTAATGTAGCTCATGAGTGATTTTCAATTGCAGTTGGATTTTTTGCACATATTTAGTGACATTTCACTTTTTTAAGCAAACATAAATCAGTCATCCCATCTATTCAGAATATGTGTTTCCTGTAGGGAAAATGCAAATTTCTGTAGGCAGGATCCTCACCTGACCCTAATCTACTTGCCCACTGCACACATGTACAATGCTCACAGGCATGTGCTTGCACATGTGTTGGCAATGAGCCTTTATAGGAGCTCCACCCAGTGCTGCGTTGGGTTGGCAGAGACAGAAGCTCAGGGGAATTGCAAACTTGACACTTGCAAATGTGATTCTAGTACTCGACCTGCCACTGTGAGAATAAAGCTTGGTATTAACCCTTTTATGTCCAACATTCTGTTGTCATCGCTCCGTCTCAGCGAATCCAGAGTGAACTTGCTCAGAGGTGAAATCCCCGTCTGGAGCAATGGTTGTGAATATGCTTGTATGCTTAGAAAAAGAGCTGAAGTTTCCAGTTTTAGTATATTCATGTGGCTATAAAGTACCCTAGATTAGGTACTTTGTAAACAATGGGAATTTATTTCTCAAAGTTCTGGAGGCTAGGAAGTCCAAGATCAAGGAAAGCATCCACAGTATCTGTGTCTGGTGACAGCCCCCTTCCAGGTTCATAAAAGGTATCTTTTTATTGTATCTTCACAAGGCAGGAGCAAGGGATCTCTCTCATGCCTCTTTTATAAGGACACTCATCCCATCGGTGAGGGTGCTGCTCTCATGACCCAATCATCTACGAAAGGCACCACCTCCAAATACTATCACATTGCATATTAGAATTTAACATGATTTTGGGAGGATACAAACATCCAGTCTATCATTTTTGCGACCAACATTTAACAATGATGTGCTACATTGTACAGTAATGACC